AGAATGATAGAATCAAAGAGTTGGAAGCGACCTCATGAGCTATCCAGTCCAACCCCCCTGACAAGAAGCAGGAATATTGCATTCAAATCACCCCTGACAGATGGCCATCCAGCCTCTGTTTAAAAGCTTCCAAAGAAGGAGCCTCCACCACACTCCGGGGCAGAGAGTTCCACTGCTGAACAGCTTTCACAGAATGTAGTAAGAACTAACGGGGGATCGTCTTAAGGAGAGGTCGCGAGGTTCGCTGTGGTTGTGGACCACTTCTGTACAATATTACACAAAGGGTCCTGAGCAGGGGCGAACGACAAACCTGGGAGACTGAAGCGGAAAGGAAGAAGTCAGGTCTCCGTCGCCCACCACTGCAAGGCTGCCTTCAGTCCAGGGAACTAAAAGGAACTGCGAGAGCCGCCCAAAGCTTGAGTCCCAGGTCGAGGGCGCTCGGGTTGTAGCTACAGCAACGGTAAACAGTGGGGAAGGCTGCAACCAGGGCAGGAAAAAGCGGGGCGGAGGCGGGCAGGAGGGGAAGCCCCTGCAAAGCCCTCTCCCTTGTCCAGAAACAGGGACTGGGTGGGAACTAGTCCTTCCTTTGTGAAATGACCCTCGCCGCCGCTCTCAAGCGGAAGCCAAAGGGACAGAAGTCATGCAGCTTGGCACCCTTTACCTGCAGCAGTGGCTCAATGCCATGGAGTCCTGAGCGTTGCAATGGAAGGAGTGCTTCAGCCTTCCCTGCCAAGGAGGGCTGGTGCCTCCTCAGACTACATAGCATAGTCAGGGCAGTTAAAGTAGTGCCCAATTGCATTTTCATCTGACAGGGTAGATCAGGAGGGTCAAACTCATTTTCATCCAGGGCCACCTCAGCCTCATGGTTGCCTTCAAAGGGCCACTGGATTCATGCAGGGAGTATCTGTGTATACAGAAAGCCAATTATATATACTGGGCATGGGCAAACTTTGGCCCTCCAGGTGTTCTGGACTTCAACTCCTACAATTCCTAACAGCCTACTGGCTATGCTATGCTAATTTTCTATATAAATACAAATGTAATGTTCGTTTGTGGGATTAACATAACTCAAAAACCACTGGGTGAATTGACACCAAATATGGGCACAATACACCTATCAGGCCAACGAGTAACCATCACTCATAAAAACACTGAAAAACACAGCAGAAGAGACTTAAAAAGCCAAAAGATAAAAATACATTACAACCTATGTGCATAACCACATAAATACACATATACACAAATATATACACAAACATATACACACATACAAAACACATACACACAGATTGGGCCACAGCAGGGGGTAGCTAGTAATATAATATAATATAATATAATATAATATAATATAATATAATATAATATAATAACTAGCTCTACCTGCCACGCGTTGCTGTGGCCAACCTTCCCCCCCCCTCTTTCTCTTCTTTCTTTCTCTCCTTCCTTCCCTCCTTCCTTTTCTTCCCTCGTTTTCTTTCCCTTTCTTCCTTCTCTACCCATTTCTTTCCTCCCTTCCTTTGCTCTTTGGTTCCATCCTTCCTTGTCTCTTTCCTTCCTTCCTTCACTCCTTCTTTCACTCTTTCGTTCCTTCCTTTGTGTCCTTCCTTCCTTCCCTCTCTCTTTCCTTCCTTCATTCACTTTTTATTTCCTTCTCTCCTTCCTTTTATACCTTTCTTTCCTTCCTTCTCTCCTCCCCTCCTTCTTTCCCTCTTTCTCCTTTGCCTTCTCTCCTTCCTTCCTTCCTTCCTTCCTTCCTTCCTTCCTTCCTTCCTACCTACCTACCTACCTACCTACCTACCTACCTACCTTCCTTCACCTTTTCTGTGTATATGTTTTGTGTGTGCATATATGCATATATGTGTGTATATATTTGTGTATATGTGTATATATGTGGTTTTGTTCATGCATTGTAATGTAGTTTTGTTTTGTTTGTTTTTTGTTTTTAAGTCCCTTCTGCTGTGTTTTTCAGTGTTTTTATGAGTGATGGTCACTCGTTGGCCTGATAGGTGTATTGTGTCCAAATTATTTCCTTCCTTCCTTCCTTCCTTCCTTCCTTCCTTCCTTCCTTCCTTCCTTCCTTCCTTCCTTCCTTCCTTCCTTCCTTCCTTCCTTCCTTTCTTCTGAAACCAACCTGAACATTTCAGCTCCATTAGAGGGTATAAAATCATCAAGTTGGGAAGGATTTTATGGGCCATCCCATCCAACTCCCTCCCAAAGCAACCTTGTCCAGCTAAAACAGTGGCTCCCAACCTTTTTTTGACCAGGGGCCACTTTGACCAGGGACTATTCTGACCAGGGACCACTCTCCAACATTTTGTGAGTAGTCAGCCTCTCCTCTCCTGACACCCGCGTTGCCTTGGCACTATAAGAGGGTTTCACAAGACCAGTTGCTCTCATTGCCACATGGTTTTGAGTCAATGGTGTAGTGATGGTGAGACTGCAGACCATATTTTTGTTCTTGTGGACCACTGGGAGTTCAGCTCCCAGAATATCTAGCCATTAGCCAAAGTTTCTGAGGCTGCTGGGAATTGAAATTTGAAACACTTAGAAGGCCAATGTTTGGAAATCATTGAATCAGCCCAGCCAGGTAGCTCTCCAGCACCTTTTTTTTGAAAACTTCCAGATAAAGAACCCACAGCATCTCAAGTCACTTCCATTGCTGAACCATTTTTACTGTCAAGAATTCCTTCTCATGTTCAATCAAAATTTATCTTCCTGTAACTTCAAACCATTAGAGATGGACCTAACTTCTGGAACAGCAGAGAACAGACCTGCCCTTTCTTCTCTGTGGCAACCATTGAGGTATTCAAAAAGTGCAATCACATCTCCTCTCAGTCTTTTCACCATGCTGTGCATGCCGAGTTCCTTTCCTCATATGGTTTACCTTCTTTATTGCCTTGCTACAGTTTGTCTATATCCTTCTTAAAATAAGGCGCCTGCAACTAAACACTGTAGTCCAGATGGGGACCATTGTGTTCCATGATCATGATCCACAGGGCAGTTATTAATAATAACATCATCATCTTATATCTTATTTCCAGCACGAGATCCAAGAAGACAACACTCTTTGTTTTATACAAGAAGCAATGGATGGGTCCATCACTTCTCTTGACTTGGAACTATGTTTCTATTAATGCAGGCTAAAATATCTTTCTCCCTCTTTGCTGCAGCATCACACTGCTGGCTCATGTTTAATTTATGATCAAAACTAATCCAAAGGTGTGGGGTTTTTTTTTAACAGATAGTACAGATGAGCCATGTACACACACACACACCCCATCCTATAGATGTGAATTTTGTGTTTATGGCCTAGATAGAGAATTTTTAATTTGTCTATATTGATTTTCATTTTATCAATTTCTGCCCAATTTTCTAGCTTATTTTCTGAACTTTGCCTGTCTCCCAATGTGTTAGCCCCACCTTCCAGTTTTGTTTCATTTGCAAACTGGATAAAGATTCCCTCTACTATGTAATCTAAGACATTGATAAAAAGGTTAAACAGCAGTGGTCTTATGACAGAACCCTGAGGCACTCCTTCCAATCCATAGGGTAACTATTGATCACAGTATAGTTTTCTCTCCATTATAGATCCAACTGGCAGTGTCTCTGTCTATTCCACAATTCCCATCTAGCTCAATGATCAGTGAAACCTCGATCATCACTTTAGCTGGAGGTATGGCACAATGAAGAAAACGATTAAAAATCCTCCTTTTACTATGATCCTAACTGCTTGTGGTTAAAGAATGTTATGAAGGAATTGGTTTATGTTAAATGGTTTTTAATGCACCCCTTGATGTGCTAAAATGTACAGTTTCAACTACTTGCATGTTTACACTTTAGTGGATGAGTCACACACTTTCAGACCAAGGAAACATCATGGTAGGTTGGTCTTAATACTAATAATAACGATAATAATAATGTGCAACCCCAATCCACATTAGGGATATTGCTGATACATGCTATAGGCTTTCATTTATCTCCCCCTCCTTCATGTTTTTGATTTCACAACGCTTCCTTCTTGAGTGGATGTTTTCAAAGGGGATGGAAAACTCGAACGGCTAGTAGATCTTCCCATTGTCCTTTATCTTCCAGTCACTGTGTGACAGTACAAGTGATAATATTGCATTCATATTTCAATAAACTTCAACTTTTATTCAATAAATTTGCAGTGAAAGAACACATGGGCTGGTTCCAGTTTGCAGTTATCATCCTGTAATTTAAAACCTAAATGCCCTTAAAACTGGAAGATTGTAAGCATCTCTGTTGAAAAGTGCTGTTTCTCTTCTGCCTACAAGAAATAAGTTGTTGGAAAAATGCTTTGCACTGCTTACTTTGGTCATCATGTGTGCAGGTACAACTGTACCAGGAGCTCCAATTTTGTTTGCTTTGCACTGAATGTTTGTTGTAGTCCCAAGTTTCAGGGACTCTGCAGATAGGTGGCTTCTTTTGGCTGCAATCATAGGGCAAGCCACCTGTCAATTATAGTTAGGTTCCCTGGTCCCGCCCCCTTTTTGGTTTTGGAGGGAATAGGAGCCATTTTGGGTTCAGTCCACACAGAGAAGCTTTCCATGCAGGACATAAAACCAAGAGCTCCTGTAGAAAGCTTCGTCTTCTATGGCTTGGCTGGGGAGATATACAGCCCACAGCTTGGCTGGGGTTATACAGCCCTACATCTCCTTTGCTGAAGGACTTCAGTCAGCCATCACAGAAACCTGAGTTCTTTTCCCCTGGAAGTCTACAAAGCTCTGCTTGGTAAGGGTCACTCACGGAAGCCAGAAGTAGTTGGTACCGGGTGTAGAGGCTCCACGCCAACAGAGGCAAAGACAGACTGCCCAGATTAGAAGTTAAGGATTTCCCCATTTGTTAAAATACAGTTATGAAGATAGTGCCTGTTCCCTGTGGACAAGATTGAAAGAGCCAATAGACTGTTAAGGTAGCCTTAAAGTACCTGTTTGTTTACATGAATAAAGAACTTTGTTGAACCTTTAAGCAATCTAGAGACTCTGTTTTAAGGAAATCCAAGGGCCTTTAATCTGAGGCAGCCCTGGCATCCCGTTGGGCACACAGAATTTATGTCCTGTCTACAGTCTTATGCACAGGCCCAGCATGCGACAGCACATTATGACTAATAGGGATCTTCAACATCTTTTTTTCAGGATAACATGCAAATTGCCATTACTTTGTCAAACCCCCAGAAGCCATGATGGGTCAAGGCTCCATATAATTTCCAAATGCCAGTATCTGTTTCAGAGTTGATGCCTAGGAAACCATCAATTTAAAACAATATTTATTATCAGATTGCCAACTGTTTTTATCAAGCACATTTTAAAAATTCTAGATAATAATTGCCATCAATTTCTATTCAGTTCCTTTACACATATATATTTCAGTTGTTTTGTCATCATTATGGTTGCCAGTGTATTAACATTTGTAACCATATTGATGATAAAATGAATGAAATACTGCTGTTGTGTGTCTACTAAACCATCTAGGGAATTCTCCAGCACAAAAAAGAACAATTGGATTTGTGGACAAAATCAAATCATATATTTTCTCATTTTGTTTCTTGCAACAATGGATTAGCAAACATGGCATATAAAAACACAGGCTGTTTATCACAAATCTAGCTTTTCAAAAAACAAAGAAGTTTGAGGCTTCTTTATTTTTAAAAACTATCAAAGGAATTTAAGTCTCACTGGAAATCCAGAAATTTCCAATCTGATTTTGCATCTGAATTACAAAATATTTTAAAACTAAAGTATTTTTCAAAGAAGAATGATTTGTAAGTGCTCACCCAACTATCAAACAAATGCATAGAATAACAGCACATGGACATTGTTACTTGCAAAACATACAGATGCATATATAAATATATGAGTCAGGTTGCATTGATATGGCAGATGATTCTGATCATTTCTGCTGCTGGGACTGTTCATTTTCATCTTCATCGCTTCCAAATTCTGTGCTAGTGTCCTTTTTGGTGGGGAACCTTCTTGCCTGATTTTCAGATGTTGACATTTCATTTTCTTTGAGTATTTTGCCTGTTTCCTCTGCTGACTTCAGTGTAGATGTGCACTCAAGCTGCCTCTGTTGAGAAGTGTCACAACCATCAACATCCTTTAAGAAAGCCATCCCATCCGCTTTCTTCTGGGAGATAAAAGGCATTTCTTTTGAATGTTTTCCATGTTCTGAAGCTTTACTCCCAAATGGTGCTTGCTGTGGTATGAACAAATCAGTTGCACTCTCAAAGATGTCGTTGTCATCATCATCTTCATCCAAGAAGGCCACCTCATCTGCTTTCTTGTGTGAAATAGAAGACATTTTTCCTGACTTCTCTTTATGTCTGGAAGTTTCACTTTGGAATGGCACTTCACTTTGGAAATCATCAACATTCTCAAAATGGTCGTCATCGTCATCATCATCCCCAATATAGTCATCTAAGAAAGCTACCCCATCTTCTTTCCGGTGGGGAATCAAAAACCTCCTCTCAAGTGTTGATGCTTCACCTTTCTGACCATCAAATTGTTCTTCTTCATCATCACTGTCATATTCATCTAAGAAAGAAACTCTGCGTTCTGATGGCTTTGGAGGTTCCAACATTTCTGTTTTAGGGAATACTCCATCTGATAGGACTAGCTCTTGCATTGGCCTCAAATCTACTGTGGTCTCAAGAGATTCTTCTTCTTCACCAACATACTCATCTAAGAATGCCACTCCATCTTCTTTCCGGTGGAGAAGACGTTCTGCTTGTAGTAGTGCGTCTAAAATTTCCTCTTTTGGTGATACAGCCTCTTCTATAGCTGGCTCCTGCAATTGCCTCACTTCAGTTGTACCTTCAGGTTGCTTTTCTTCACTGCCAGCACGGCTATCCAAGAGAGTCAAGCGATCTTCTTTTTCACGGGGAGGATACTCTAAAATTTGACTCTGAAGAGAGGCTGCCTTTTCAGCTAGCACTGGTACTGGTTCTAATCTCACATCAGTTGCACTTTCTTTTTGTTGACGTGCCTCAGGATGAAACACTTGAGGAACTGGGACACTTGCTTCTTCTGCTTTTTTGGGGGTTATCCCACGATCTGAAGTTGTTGTCTCTGACTTCAATATGCCTTTAAATGATTTCATACTAAACCTTTTTGAAGTTTGGGATGTAGCATCCTCAGGAGGGTACATAATAGATCTCGTGTATGAAGAGGTTATACTCTGTGAGAAAACAAATCAAATTGTAAGAAGGGCTGAAGAACATTGTGTATTTCATTAAAATAAAATTAAATGTATATTATGTCTTTAACAAGTTCTCTCACACACATCAATCATCACATCAATCATATGAAAACAGAATTCACTAATGTATTGTCAAAGGTTTTCACAGCCAGAATCACTGTGGTTTTCTGGCTATATGGCTATATAGTGTTCTAGCAATATTGTCTCCTGCCAGAAATGCTGCTAGAGCACAGCCATGCAGAGCAAAAACCACACAACACTCCAGAATTCACAAAGTCATTTAAGAATGCGTAACCTAGAATTACACAGTTGTGATGTTTTCTATTATAAAACTTTCATATTCCCTAATTTAGGAGATGCACAGGGACCGTGGAATTTATCCAATCCTCATTTACCAGGAATTAAGCACTGCAACTGACAAGGGTTTGTTCCCTTGTTGACCAGGAAACATCTAGTTGAAGGTGTGTTCCCCTTCTTCACTCCCCAGCAATTTCAGTGCATTATATGGCAGTGTTTGAAGAGGGATTATGAGAAGGACCCTGCTGCTACCTATTGTATCAGAGATTACTCAATGGAGAGTGGAAACATCATTCAGCAGTTTACAAATCAATTAGGGAACAGATGCTTGTCAACCTCTGTGGTTGCTGAGGATGGGGGTGGGTGGAGGGATTAGGCTGAGAGTTGCTGTGGACCTGCATTAACTACCATGGTTACGCATTCATAATAACTGCCCAAATTCCAGTCACTTTTCTCAAAACTTTGCATGCCAATAAAGTTCTGACCATGGATCAAGGCCATTTGCTTTCATAAGTCCTCCAAGAGCCAAAAGACCACTTCAGTACCACAGAAAGAAATGGTTTCCAGAAGGAACCACAAAACCTGTCAAGAAACAAGTGTTCCGAAGCAGCCACATGATTCTTTTCTTCCAGACACTCATAGTAACAAGTTCAGCTTTCAAGTGTTAATCACCCATAATCTAGGGCAGTGGTACCCAATCTTTTTTTTGACCAGGGACTCCTTGACCAGGAATCACTCTCCAACATTAGTTCCAAAAGGGTTACAAATCAGTTTTTGGTCAACTTTAGATTTGGTTTGGTTATTTGGGGTGGTGATTCAGAAATTTGCATTGGATAGACCACATCAGCTCTAGTTTCTGATACAGAACATATGCCATCCAGTAGTCGCCAACTGCTGGCCCACAGAAAACCATATTTAATAATCTAGAGCTGTTGTGGTCTATCCAATGCAATTTTCTGAATCACCACCCCGAATAACACCAGGAACAGGCCTAAAAACAAAGACACCAAGATAAAAAAATGTTTTGTTGTGCTGTGTTATTATCCATGGATTTTGTTAACACTTGAGACTATAAGAGGGTTTTCTGAGGCCAGTCACTCTTGCTGTAACAGTGTGGTAACAGTGAGGCCACTGACCATATTTTTGTTCTAGTGCACCACTGGCGGTCCATAGACCATAGATTGGGAACCACTGATCAAGGGCAACCAATAATCATCTGTTATACTCCAATTATAGTTATTTTTGAATGTGCTATGACCATGTCAGCGACAAAATTTGGGAGTTGATGTCCAAAAGAAAGGCATCTTTTACAAAATCAAGCACAGATGCACTCATATGCTACATAATTAATAATGTGACAAAGGTGCAGGTTTCTTGTTTAGAAGAAAACAGAATAAGTATTACCCCTAAAGAAGGCGAGTGTGATTGCCAAGGAACTATAGTCCTCGTCATTTCGCATACAGATGCATTAAGATAATTTTTCGTTGACTGTATTGCTTCATTTTTTAGCCATGGAATAAAAGCAAGTATACTGGCTGCCGCAACATTGCAAACACCATTTACTACGAAACCAATGTTATAATTGCCGAAAATATCATACATTGCACCTGAAACAAAAAATACATTTGGGTTACTATTTAAGCACATAACAGTTCTAATTTTTTTGTAATGTTGTGTTATAACATAGAGAAACAACTCCCAATGATAGTAAAGTCACACTGCAAACACATACACACACTCTGAAGTCATCAGGTGCTGCAACCTCTGCTAGTGCAATGGTCAGGGACACCTCCTCCATCCCCATGTAGAAAACACAAGCTCCTATATGGCCATGTTCAAGAAGCATTCTCCCCTGACGTTTCGCCCACATCTATGGCAGGCATCCTCAGAGGTCCTCTCTGGGTGAAACGTCAGGATAGAACACTTCTGCAGCATGGCCATACAGTCCAGAAAACTCACAGCAACCCAGTTTAGAGTTTTTATTGACATGTTTGGAGTAAATACTTTTCAGCCTCCCAGATGTTGCAGTTAAGGAACTAGATAAGTGCCCACATGGGCCAAGCAACAGATTCAGGTCACTCAGATTTCTTGGGGTATATGCCTCTAATTTTAAAATAAAATTATGCTTCCAGAAGGTTAATACTATAATAATAAAAATAACAGCACACTCTTTCCTGGTTCTCCATGCTGTATGCATATAACACAGAGAAGAGATTTGTTAAGCACTACAAAGATGGTCACCTCATGAACATAATGAAAAAAACACATTCAGCTATGCTAATACATTACTAACTCACAGCTGCATAGAAAAATAGCTAACATTGGTTTGGTTTTACCTGCAAAGGGTGGGCCAAAGCAACTAATTGCATTGACAGTCATCATAAATCCCCATGCAACAGGCATTTTCTCTTCTCCCATCAAGTCAAAAGTAAGGACAGGCAACAAAACATAGTTTCCCGCATCAACAAATCCCAGAAGAGAGCAAATGGTTACTAGAGAGGCAAAGTTTGTACAATGAGGAATAAGAAAGTATACCACACCTGCAAAGCAAAACAAAACCTTGTAAGATACATGGTTATTTTAGATGAACATAACAGGTTTGCTAATGTGTTAAAGGTCCAGCAGGGCATCTAGACACCCCACAAAAAAGCACGGGCTTTGGGGGGAGCTATATGAACTCTAGTCCACATCCAATCGGGTTTCTTAAACCCGATTGGGTGTGAATTAAAGGCCTGTGTGGAATCAGCCAGAGACAGATGCAATGTTAATGAAAGTGACATTTAAAATGTCATTTACATTAAGTACTTATAATGTATATAAGAACTCAGAGCAGAATACAGAATTTTCATTTCTCAAGCATATGCATGCAGACAACTGCTTAAACAGAGGCTGGATAGTCATCTGTCAGAAGTACTTTGATTGTGCTTTTCATGCATGGCCCACGTGGTCCCTTCCAACTCTATGATTCTATGTCTAGATGGATCAATGTGGATCTTTTACCATTTCCAGGTTTAAACTACCATCTACACTGCCATATACTGCAGTTTGAAACTACTTTATATGGTCAGTTCATTACCTGGCAGTGCAGATGGGTTCTTGATCTAAAAAGGCAGTTTGTCCTAACTTGCCAAGTATTATTATATTACATTAAATGTTTCCTGTTAATAAAGAGACATTTGTTTTCTGGGACATACTTACCAGCAGACAAAATGGATGCCTGATTCAGATAAAGTCGGTCAATTTTTTCCATGTCACATATCTTTCCAAAAAGAAGACAACTAAACATGCTGCTTACTCCAATTCCTACCATAATATAAGATGCTTGATGCAATGGAATACCCAAGTCACCTGCAAGTTTAATCTGTAAAATAAGTGTCTTTAGATTTATATTCACATATTGATTTTTGATGCCGCTATGCATTTCTCAAAAAGAGTTTATCATAATAGTGCTGATCACAGTTGAGCTAACAATGTCATTAAACACTTCAGCGCTTTTTGTTTTAAGAGTCACATGGTGTTTCAATGTACACTGCCAAGCACTAACATGTTATAACTGTATATAATTAATTGAGGCTCTACCAGAATCGTAAGTGCTGACAAAAATGCCCTCTTCTTCCTTTGCTGCCTATTGAATGTTGTCTGTTAGTTTTCAATAAAAACTTTTCTCTTTCTGTCTGTTTGTATAAGAACCAATTCCTGCCCCTTTTGTGTTGATTCTGCCTCTGATACCTAATTTTCTGTTAATAAGAAAGGGCTAGGAACACATCTTCTTCATTAACTGAGACCTGTAGGCAAGTCTTCATCATAGCATGTATCCTTGTAGCCGGATCTAATTATTTTCCCAGAAAAGGGCACACATGGTTCAGAATTGAAATAAAGAAAAGAAAGAAAATATTGACCTCATATCAATTTGATATAAATACCAGGTCTAGCAACAATCCAAAAAGACAAGACCATACATCTTTTGGAAGTACACCGACCTGATTGCCTACTATCAAGAACCATATCTTATATTAAACAAGTTGCAGACTTTTCCCTCCTTTCTATCTGTCAGACTTGTTCAGAGACCTCAAAGGGCTGAGGGAACAAGAACAGTGATCATTGAATATTATCACAATATTTAGAGAAAACACTTTCAGTTGTATATATATTGCTATTCAAAATATGAAACATGTATAAGAGATACTATAGAAAACCAAAATGCACAGATGGGATCTTACCATATGTACAAAAGGTATGAAGAATCCAAATTTTGCTAATCCAAGAGCAAGGACCCAAACCTCAAAGATACGGTCTTTCCACAAACTTAAATCCACAATAAAACCTCTTAGTGGGGATGTTTTAAACTTCTCAACAACACTTGGATGAGCTCTATCTTTAAAAAAATAAAACAAAAAATAATTATTGCTATTATTTACATAAAGCCACAGCCGAAACTGACAAAAGTTTCATTATCAGACAACAACAAATATGACAAAAGTCAAGTGAATTTACATGTCAACATGTCAACCTGTGTGATGTTTAGTTTTTGTGCTTTGGCCTGCAAAGAGGAACGAAGATCTCAAAGAGTGATTCTACATGTTAGTGGGAGAACTTGTTCAGAGGAGTGTCTGGACAACCCCAAGAAAGATTACATCTGAGGAACAATAATCAGACTTTATTATGTCTACACTCTATTCCTGAAGAGTTGACTGAATACTGAATGGGAATTCTTAGGAGTAAAAAGTGGACATGATTTATTCTTTAAGACTTGAGTACTGATCACAGTTTTAATTGAACCACAAGCTCACCGAATGTGGCTCCAGGTTCAAACCCTGAAGCTGGGAAAATTTTGCCAATTTTTCACCATAGCTCATTTGGTGAAGGAAAACACTGTGCCTTGTCACCTGAGATTGTTTCTCAATGTCCCAATGCAGGACCCTTTGCATTGGGAGGAACAGAAAAAAGCAGGCGTGAGTTTGTTGGAGTTTGTGCATATGCTCTGAAATGTCTAGAGTAAAGACAATGTATGTTTGCATGTGCCTATAATGTATACATGTGCCTTCTGTTCCAAAACAAGGTATGACTCTTCGTGCTGAAAAAATGTTGATAATTCCTACTTCAAATTCAGGACTGGGTCCTTTCTGGGCATTTTCACAAGCTAGTTTTATTATTTATTTATTTATTTATTTATTTGACTTGTATACCGCCACTCCCAATTTGGCTCGGAGCGGTTTACAGCAGTAGATTAAAACAATACAACCAACTTTAAAATACAATAAAAACGAGAACAGACATAGTCCTGAGTTATTCACCCATCGAAAGCTTGTCGGAAAAGAAACGTTTTACAGGCTTTCCGAAAAGCAAGTAGCTCTCGGATGGTTCGGGTTTCAACTGGGCAAGGCATTCCATAAATAAGGGGCCACAATCGAGAAGGCCCTCTGCCTAGTAGAGGACAGATGATAAGTCCGGATGTTGGGGACTTCAAGCAAATTTTGGTCTTTGGACCGAAGTAATCTCTGGGGTTGGTAGGGGGATAAGTGGGCCCGCAGGTACGCCGGCCCCAGACCATATAAGGCCTTAAAGGTTAGTACCAGCACCTTGAAAGTAATCCGGTACTCAATTGGAAGCCAGTGCAGCTGTTGTAGAATTGGGGTGATACGACACCTCGCTGGCACCCCAGTGAGAAGACGAGCCGCCGCATTTTGCACCAGCTTCAGTTTCCGGATCACTGACAAAGGAAGGCCAATGTAGAGGGTGTTACAGTAGTCAAGCCTCGAGATGACCGTTGCCTGGATCACCGTAGCCAGGTCGTTCCTAGATAGGAAGGGAGCCATCCGCCTAGCCTGACGTAGGTGGAAAAACGCAGATCTGCTCACAGCAGAGACCTGGGCCTCCATTGAGATTGAAATGGATTGTTTCAGGCTGGATCTACACTTCCCTATAATCCAGTTTCAGAATGTGGATTAACTGCATTGATCTGCATTATAGGATAGTGTAGTACCTGGATGAGAGACCAGGTGATACAGGCTATATTTCAGAGGAAGAAACGGGCAAAAACCTTCTTTGCCCAAGAAAGCCCTATGAAACGCATGGTCAGTGCATGAGTTGTTGCTGAAGAGCAGGACTACTAAAGCATAACTTGGAATGCATTAAATATCAATGGCAATCTGGGAGACAAAAAATAGTCCAGTCAAACTAATATGCTCTGGCCAGTGTTTGCAAGACCCAGGGAGGGGGGACTGATGAAGCCAGTTTGCTCTGGCTTTTGAGACTACGAGTTCATCCATACTGTAGAATGAATGCAGTTTGACACCAGTTTCATTGCCATGGCTCCATGCTATGGAAGCATGAGAGTTGTAGTTTTATAAGGCCTTTGGTATTTCCTGCCAGAATGTTCTGGTACCTCACCAAATTACAAATCTCAGATTCCATAGCATTGAGCCATGACAGTTAAAACTGTGTCAATCTGCATTCATTCTATAGTATAGGTGCACCCTAACGCCAATGTTATATATGGCCTAATGTCATTGTTATATATGCTTTCCCTGCCCTATTTCAATTGATTAGCCGCACAAATCCCAATAGAACACCCTCCAGTTATCCCAAGTCTCGAATAATCTTGTGCTTTCAACTCCTTTTAAAATGTCTCCATGTTTTCTTCTCCCACTTTCTCCCTTTGTATCCAGGTTACTTCAATTGCTACAAAATAAGTTCACGTTGCAAAAGCAGTCTGTACTTAGTTGTCCAGGAGCCACAGTGGTGTAATGGATTAAACCCTTGTGCTGGCTGAACTGCTGACCTGAAGGTCGGCTATTTGAATCTGTGAAACGGAGTGAGCTCCCGTCTGTCAGCTCCAGCTTCCCATGAGAGAAACTTCCCACAGGATGGTAAAACATCTGGGCATTCCCTGAGCAACATCCTTGTAGATGGCCAATTCTCTCACACCAGAAGCAACTTGCAGGTTCTCAAGTCACTGCTGACATGATTTTAAAAAACTCAGTTGTCTCAACATTGTAGAAAGGAAAGGAGGAGGATGGAATTACAGTATAATCCCATTGTACACCGATTTAATATCCATGGTTCTGTTTATCCATGCTTCAAAATTAGGTTTGCTATGATTTCTGGTCTCCATGGGGTAACATTGATACAGGGATCATATTATTAAAACACCGAAGTTCTTATAAAACTATTTATTTTTCTCTATGAAATGTAAAATGAAGGGACTGTGCCAAGATCTCAAGTTTTGTCTAGGAATCCTCAAGGCCTGGGCTGATTTTGAACTTGCAAATCTATGTGCTACAAGAAAGAAAAGAAGAAACAAATTTAAAAAGGCATCAGTAGTTTACATACGTTTTTGAAGTGGTTTGTAGGCAAAACCAGCCACAATACATATTGTCAGAATTCCACTGTATACACGTAAGCTAACTCTCCATCCAAGGGTATCAATTAAATACTCATGAAGCTTATTCTGCACAAATGTTCCTGCAGCCCCACCAGCCATCACAATCCCAGTTGCAAAGGAGCGCTTGGTGGTAAAATAAAGGCTTACCATTATCAGACCTATGGAAACATACAGTGTTACAATCATTATTAGTACATTATTATTTATTAATACACTCATATTATGTATTAATATAGTCATTTATTAACATTATGGCAATATTGGGATCTAAAACTGCTTACAACATATTAAAATCAATACAGATTAAGATAAAACAAGAAAAAAGCAGAGGTGGAAGATATATTCCTGGTGAAACCACAGTCAGCTGAAACTGTGAATACAACCAAAGGCTACTAAATTATCTGATTTCCTGTCACAGCATACCATCGAGATGGAGTCCCTTGTTGAAGGCTGTGGATGATGGGCTTTGCAGAAAGAGGAGAACCTAGCATTTTTCTCTGGGTGTGTGTAAGTGAAACCTCAGTTCCATGGTTACTGTACATATATGGTACATGTCTTGCAGTACATACAAAAACAAAGATGGCTCAACTAAAAAATCTATAAAATTAAATCAATTTACAAGATGAATATAAACACATCACATTGCCTCATCACATTGCCAAATTTTCCAGTCCTAGAACAGTTTGCCGATGCAGCTAGCACGGAGCTCACTGGATCCCATCACATGATACACAGCTACTTTCAACCGGACTCCATGGTGGCTATATCGGCAAACTGTTCTAGGACAGGAACTCTGAACATGGGAGACTACCAAGCTGTAAAGGTAGTCTTTCCAGCGTGTGATGGGCAAGCAGGTGGTGCAGTGGATGTAGGTTGCTGGGCGACGGATTTGCCCTGCTACCCCACAATCTTTCCCTCTGCCCTATGGATTCCCCGCATCAAGGACCTCCATGTGATGAGATTCATTGTGATCCGCCTTCTAAAATAGATTGGAAGTCAGCGCAGCTGCCAAAGCACTGGTGTCACATAACTATGTTGACTAATTCTAGTTAATTTAATTGATAACTAAATAGATTTGAGTTACCTGGGGTGCTAGCCAGACTTGATCCTACACCAACAATGATTCCTTGTGTTAAAAATAGCATTCGTAAATCATGAGTATACGATGAACACACTAGACCAAACATGACAACGATTGCTCCAATTATGCACACTTTAATGGCTCCATGTTTCACCAGAAGTTTTCCAGCAACCGGACCAAAAATCATAATAAAAGCATAGCTGATCGATCCAATCCAGGCTACATAGAAACAAATAGTTGTAGTTAAATGCAGGAAAACATTTACATCTTACTATATGATCAGATTAATTACTATGTGTTCTACCAGTAAAGGGAGAAAAACACTTCTTGAAACCAATAGAAAAGTACAGATATCTGCAAACTACATTAGAAGTATTTGGGCATTCAGGAATTTAAGAGGGGGAAACCAAAGAGCAGGTGCTGTGTTGTATAGGCCCAGTCCTCATGACACAGGGGAGTTTCGGGGTACGGTGTCATCTGTACGCGGATGATGTCCAACTCTGTCACTCCTTTCCACCTGCTACTAAGGAGGCTGTCCAGGTCCTGAACTGGTGCTTGGCCGCTGTGACGGTCTGGATGAGGGCGAACAAATTGAAATTGAATCCAGACAAGACAGAGGTACTCCTGGTCAGTCGCAAGGCCGAACAGGGCATAGGGTTACAGCCTGTGTTGGATGGGGTCGCACTCCCCCTGAAGATGCAGGTTCGCAGCTTGGGTGTGACCCTGGACTCATCGCTGAGCCTGGAACCCCAGGTTTCGGCGGTGACCAGGGGAGCATTTGCACAGCTAAAGCTTGTGCGCCAGCTGCGCCCGTACCTTGGGAAGTCTGACTTGGCCACGGTAGTCCACGCTCTGGTTACATCCCGTTTAGACTACTGCAACGCTCTCTACGTGGGGTTGCCTTTGAAGACAGCTCGGAAGCTCCAACTAGTCCAAAGCTCGGCAGCCATGATTTTAACAGGAGCGGAGCGCAGGGAGCATACAACCCCCCTGTTGCGCCAACTCCACTGGCTACCGATCTGCTACCGGGCTCAATTCAAAGTGCTGCCGTTGGCCTTTAAAGCCCTAAACGGTTCCGGCCCAAGCTACCGATCCGACCGCATCTCTGCCTATGAACCCACCAGGACTTTGAGATCTTCCGGGGAGGCCCTGCTCTCGATCCCGCCTGCTTCTCAAGCTCGGCTGGCGGGGACGAGAGATAGGGCCTTCTCGGTGGTGGCTCCTCGGCTGTGGAACGCCCTTCCTACGGACATTAGACTAGCACCATCTCTAATGGTATTCCGCAAAAAGGTGAAGACCTGGATGTTTGTGCAGGCGTTTGAGTAATTTAGTGCAATCTGGTAATGGAACATAGGAATGGAACAATGGACGACGAACCTGGACTACGCTTGGATGATGAGAAGATTGGGTACGGTTGTTTTTTGTAATAATTGTGCATTGTAATTGCTTATTGGTCATTTATGGATAATGTGTTAAGTCAATTGTTATATGTTGTATGGAACCACTGCTGTTTCTACTGTTTTTACTGTTTGTGAACCGCTGTGAGTCGCCTTCGGGCTTGAGATACAGCGGTATATAAGCAAAGTAAATAAATAAATAAATAAATAAATTTCCTTCAGCCCACTCCAGGACACAGCATGAACATGAGCATATAACAGTATGTATGTAAGTTTCCATACTAGCTTGAGACCCCATATTCTAACTTACATGGAGATCAACACTTGTTCATCCATCTGAACAAGAGCTTGATTGTGCATTTCCTGCATGGTAGGGGGTTAGGCTGGATGGCCCTTGTGGTCTCTTTCAACTCTATAATTCTATTGTCGATCTATCCATCTAGATAGACTTCCCTTCTACAGAAATGTACACGTCAGGAGGAGTCTGATGTCAGAAAGCTACAAAGTACAGACTTTTCATTCACTAGATTAATTGCTTGTCTATATTTAAACATATATAGTTCACATACATGTGCATTTAATGTATGTGGTAAAGCCTCTGTATCTGTGGAGGATACATTCCTGAATTAACTATTTATTTATTTACTTATTTACTATATTTATATACCACCTCTCTCAACCTGAAGGCGACTCAAGGTGGTTTACATTCAGCAGTCAATGCCCCCAACAACATAAAATATAGTTAAAACATTACATATAATATAAACCATATAAAAGCAATAAAACAATTAAAACCATAAAACACAAGTCCTCCGCATCTCATCACTAAAATCATTTTTCTATTGCATTGCCCAATCATTCCGTGGATCTAAATTAGTCTGTTACACTGCATCTGCAAATGCCTGCTCAAACAGCCAGGTTTTGACTCTCTTTTGAAATGTTAGGAGGGAGGGGGCCAATCTAATATCCCTAGGGAAGGCGTTCCATAGCCAAGGGGCCACTCCTGAGCAGGCCCTGTCTCTCGTTCCCCCTTCTCGTTCTGTGAATTTATTTATTTATTTATTTCGGGGTTCTTTTACCCCGCCCTTCTCACCCCGGAGGGGACTCAGGACGGCTTACAGAAGCAAAGGCACAATTTGATGCCTGCATCACAGAACAACCATACACAAAATTACATCAATTCAAGTTAACAACAATTCATGCATTATAACCATAAAATCAATAAAATCAATAAAACCAGTACAAACCCAATTCCTCCTCCTACATGGTCAGCGTTCGCTGGGGGGGCAGAACTGAGAATAGGGCTTCCCCAGGTGTTCTTAAGCACCTAGATGGTTCATAGGGAGACATGCGTTCGCACAAGTAAACTGGTCCAGAACTGTTTAGGGCTTTAAAGGCTAAAGCCAGCACTTTGAATTGTGCCCAGTAGCAAACTGGCAGCCAGTGGAGCTGGCACAACAGAGGAGTTGTGTGCTCCCTGTTAACAACCTGGCTGCTGCCTGTTGGACCATTTGAAGTTTCCAAACAGTCTTCAAAGGCAGCCCCACGTAGAGCACATTGCAATAGTCTATACGGGGCGTAACCAGAGCATGGACTACCGTGGCCAAGTCAGACTTCCCAAGGTACAGGCACAGCTGGCGCACAAGTACAGAAATAGGAAACAACGGATGAAAGGGAATGCTACTGAAATGAGTAACTTCTCCTGGAAAATTCTTACAGAGGCATCTCCTTTAAGAATTTGCCCAGTCCTCTAGGGCAACTCTAGAGTTACTTCTGGCAGAAGCATACCACTGAATCATCAGGAGGCTCTAAAAATGTGTTGGATTTACATAAGTAGGTGAAGTTCCATGGCCACAGGGTTCATGCTATAGCTAAACAGCAGAAAATAAAAACTCTTTATCCTTCTTTGAAAGTTTCACTAGAATCATACTTAATACACCTTTAATTAACATGTGATAGTAACCTACCTATTATTGAGCTGGTTGACTTAAAAGTCTCAAGAAGGGGTAGCATGTAAACGCCAAAAGCATTGTGGAAGCCACTGACGAATAAGGAATGAATAAAAGCAGCTAAAACAACAACCCAACCCCAGCCCCCATCTGGAGGGGGGTGTAAAAATGAAGTATCTTTATTAATCGCATCCAATGTGTTACATCTCCTCAATTTGCGCAACAGTACTGCAGACTGAAGTTTCTTCATGATTGGAGAAAAAATCTGGGGGGTGGGATTAATTCGATTAGTACACACTTTTACAGAATCCTTCACAAATTATAACATATTTCAGAAATATACTTTTCACAATGGTAGCAGGAAAAAGGGGTGAAACAGTTGCAAAGGGAGAAAGAAAGAGGGGTGAAGAAAAGCGTGAGAGAGCAAGTTGAATGGATGAATACAATCCATTCACAACTGCTGTATGTATGACGAGTGAGTCAATAACTCGTGGCTATATGGATGGATGGTGATGAACAACGATTTTATTGTGACGACTTGGCCATTGTAATTATATGATTGTATTTTTGGTATTTTAATGTGTTAGTGTATTATGGAATGTGATGTTTTTAAACGATTGCTTGTGATATTATTGTTGGAAACCGGCCTGAGTCCCTCCACGGAGGTGAGAAGACTGGTATACAAAAGTTCTAAATAAATGAATAAATGAATAAATAAATAAATGTCTAAAGCTGCAGCAGTGCACAACCATTCATACACCTACTGTGTTTTTGAATTGATGGGTGGTAGTGTATGGCTTCAATTTTCGAACAAACTATAGTTAGAAGTAGAATGGTTTTGAATAAATATGGTAAATTTTCATGGTACAAACCAAAGATCCATCTACACCAGGCATGGGCAAACTTCAGCCCTCCAGGTGTTTTGGACTTCAACTCCAGCTGTTAGAAATTGTGGGAATTGAAGTCCAAAACACCTGGAGGGCCAAAGTTTGCCCATGCCTGATCTACACTGTAAAATGAGTGCAGTTTAACTGCCATGGCTCAATGTTGTGGTGCATCTCCAAACTACAGCATCCAGGATTACATAACATTGTGGTTAGAGGTTCTTCACACAACTCAGAATATATTTCCATCATTTTTAAACATGGTTTGGAGCCAGATTCCAATTTGTACTAATCACAATGCTACTTAGTTTGAATTATGCAAACCACGATTATAACAAACGACTCATAGAAGATTTCACCTTCTCAGTCAAACATCAGGGATTATGGGAGGTGAAGTCCAAAACACTTGGAAGACCAACATTTGGGAAACTCTACTCTCTTACCTCTTTCTCCCCTCCTTCTCTTGCTCTACTAAAGCATATCCAAATACTACCCATTCAATTTCTTCCTGTTCCCATGGAGACTTTGCCCTCTCAACCGCCACTTCTTCACTCAGTCCCTATTTCTAATCTTCCCCTATATACCCTCCATGTAACATCATTCTACATGACAAGCACTTACCCAGAGAAGAAGCCACCGGTCCCACTCCTTCTGAGGAAAGGTACATTGTGATTCCTTACTTTTGCTTGGAGCCAAGGGAAGAATCTTGGGGAAGAACTTATGCACTGTCCCAGTTCCGGAATGGAAGGCTGAGATAGTGACGACTCCAGTAGAAGCCCCCATTGTAGAAGGCTTTGAGTGTCCACCTGCTCTGCCTCCTGGAAGACCCATATGGATTAGTTGCATTCCTGGGCATTTGTTCTTCAGTTCAGTACAGAGGACCCTTGCGTATCTGCTAAGATTTAATTATCTGTGAGGAAATCCCATTAAGAGAAAGAACTTAAATTAATTGTGTGGAATGGGCCTTCCTCCTAATGTTTAGTTTGCCCACATGTTTTGGTATTTACATATGAATTATCATTAAATTTTAAATTCATTTTTGTTTGATATTTATTTATGTATTTATTTTTTTACCCTGCCCTTCTCAACCCCTGGGGGGACTTAGGCGGCTTACAATTGGCAATAATTCAATGCCGCATCATAAAATACAGAATAACAAATATAACAATTAAACATGAACATTAATAAATAAAGATTAAAATGGTATACTTACACTCTGATTAGCTATTGCCCGTCTGGTGGCTGTTTAACTAGCCATCTACTAATGATTACTCCGCTTAACTTATCCAAATCCTCTTCCATGCCATAGTCAAACATTATCAATTGTCCTTTAACCTGATTGCCTGAAGACCTGGTCCCACAGCCATGTTTTAACCTTTTTTCTAAAGGTGAGGAAGGATGACGATGACCTAATTTCCACGGGGAGCAAATTCCACAGGCTTATATAACCTAAACAATTCATTTTGCCAATGCTTCTGTTTCATGTCTTCTGAGAACTCATCAAAAGTCATGGCTAGAGCTGAACATGAATATGAGCATATTTTTTAAAAAAGAGAAATGGTTTTTCTATGTGATATACCAACAGTGTTGTAGAATTCGAAGAGGCACAAATTGAGGGCAAAAGGCACATCAAACTAACCCTTGTTGGGAATACCTTCCATCTGGAAATCAATGTCCTCCTTGCAAAAGAATATGCAAATCAAGAATAGATCTCTACAGTCACCTATGGACGCACCACCTACACTTGGAAGGCAATCATACTCGGACACGAGTGAGAGCCTATGATGATGATTTCAGGTTTCCATATGCAATGACAGATATTTTCAACCAACTTAACACAGTTTTGGCCATTCTTGCAGGATATTTTTGCCTCACAAGTAACCAATCGTCATTTACAGTAAAATGCGTTTCAGACAATTTACAGATAGTAAGACATTTGCACAAATTTGGACCTTGGTATCAGTCAGAATTTGGTTTCAGGATTCCCATTAGATACCCAAAACTCAAGTCCCATTATACAGAATTTCCAGTGGATGCCTAATAATGTGGATGCTCAAGTCCCATTATATAAAATGGTGTCATCAACTATAAAACATCAAAATCAAAATTTTCATTTTAGATTATTTAAAATACATTTCTAGACCCAGGAATCTGTGGATATGGAGGGTCAACTGTACTTTTTACCAAAGTGTCATAAAATAGGCGAGGTAACCCTTGCATCAGTAACCAAAAACATTGTGAGCTTTTTAGGAACTACAGTTGGCTTTCTGTATCCACAAGTTTTGTATCATCCAGAACTTGGAAATGCTTTAAAAATATTGTTAAAAAACAAATTTTGATTTTTCCATTTTTATGAAGGTATGTATGTATGTTTATAACAGGATTTGAGCATCCAAAGATTTTGGTATATATGAGAACATTGGTACAAAACACCAGATAACAAGGGCCCACTGTATTTGATAACATCTTCCAAAATGCATCTAGGGATTTTTTCCTTTATTTCATCAACTTCTATTTTTCTGATGATTCCTGTTTTGGTGGCCAGATTCATAAAGCTGTACTTAAAAAAACATGTTGGGGGTTGTATATGTGAGATACTTATCTGTTCTCCCCTTTTCTAAATTTTTTGTTGCTCATACAAATTTAATAAAGGATTCGAAAAGTATATAGTTGTGTTTATTTTACTTGCAGTAAGCAGCTTACAACTGACCAAGCTTGAGATGCCTGTTGATCAAAAATTACATGAGTCAATGAAATACAGCTTAGTTATACAGCAAACTGCTGAGAAACCTTAATGAGGAGCAATTTAGGACTAATATTTAGAAATTAGTACAGGAGATGTTTAGCAAAATAAAATGTTTTTGTGTTCACAGTGTGTATTCTCATATTTTATTTGATTTCAAAATCAAATAAAATATAAATTAAAATCAATATTGTTAAAAAGAACAAATAAGGATGCATCTACATTGTAGATTCAATGCAGTTTGATACCACTTTAATTGTCATGGGCCAATGCTATGGAATCCTGGGGTTGTAGTTTGGCAAATCACCAGCATTTCTGGCAGAGAAGTTTCAAGGCCTTGCAAACCTACAGCTCTCATGGTTCCACAGCATTGAGCCATGAAAGTTAAAGCAGTGTCAACTGTGTTAATTCTACAGTATATATGTACCCTGATAGAGTTTGGAAAACATTTTTGTCACAATGGCTGGAGAATTGTGGGGGTTGCAATCCAAAAAAATTGTTCTAAAAAGTCTGTAAAATGTTGCTGAAAATATAACTCCCAAGTAAATGTTGCACAGATCATTGTAATATCAGTCCTTTGGCATTCTTCTTTACTGTCAAGCAGAGTGGTTAATCCTTTCCAAATAGTGAACAAGTTCTCAAGGGTGCCAACCCATGTCCCTGAAGTAGATTCAGCAACTTGGGAAGCTGTTTTAAATTTCAGAATAAAACCCACATCAGATTTACAGCTGCACCAACATGGGAATCACCAGTTACCATCATCAGCCATTGATTTTCCCATGCACTGTTGCTTTCCAGATTGCAGATTGGCACTAGATTTCCTGGCAGCTCATTAAAATGCATATGTAAAATTAGGGCTGCGATCCAGTCTTCAGTGACCTTGCTGGTTTACAACTGAGTTTGTTGAGCATTTTGCTGACTTTCAGCTGGTTTTTCCTTTTCAAGGCTCTCTGTTCTAGGAGAATTCTTGGATTCTAGGTATTCAACTACTTCATATAGGACCATGGACACCACCAGTACAGTCAAAACAATATACAGTTTCACGTCGACACGTAAAAATGTGCTGTAGCCAAAGGCAATGACAAATCCCAGTGATTCCCACAGGCGATAATTAGCAAATGCTGCTTCTTTGTGCTTCTCAAATAAAACTCCATAGAGAGCTAGGGAAAAGATAAAACTTTGGTCAAAGGTTAGAAAAGCTAAACCCTGACACTCATTTATGTTTATAGCAGCCATGGTTAATGCCCTCTCCTAGAACAAGGTCTTCCTACAATAAAGATATTTTATTACACTTACTCTTTGTACCAGGGAGTTGCTTGGAATCTTATCATGTTCTTGCTTCAATCAGTCTATACTTTCTGTCTATCACTGAAAATGAATCTCTCATTAGACAAGTAAGATGTGGTCAGAGACTCTGACTGAGGAATATATTTGTCTTGAGGAAGAACCTCATATTTCCTGCTCTCCCTGGCAGTTTAGGATAAGATCCAAAGGCACAAAAATTATGTGATCTTTAAAGCAGCATTAGTAAATGTTGGAGACTAACAATAAGTCCCAGATACTATAGGCCATATATAAGACAAATGGAACTGGCAAAACCAGTACTTCTGAATATACCTTGCCCAACAACATCTGATGAAATTCATGGTGTTGTCATAAGTCAACAGATGACTTAAATAGATATGCGCACATGCACATATCTATTTAACACAGCTAGAAAATAAAAATGGGCATTGGCACATCTCTCCTGACATTCCTTGGGTTGATTTGGATCTAGGGCTGGAGCTGTACATCTGGCAGCCATTTCAGAGCCCAGGGGAAAGGTTTGTCCAAGGAGGTACTGGACACCCTTCTTGTTCATAACCCAAGATTGCATTGCCATATGTCAATAAAAACTTCCCCACCATCAAATCTTTCCTTAGGCTGAATATAAAAAACCATCATGGCTGTGGTGGAATGCATAGACTGGGGCATCTTGACAAATGGAAGTTTCATAATAACAGTTTATTTATACCCCACCACCATCTCCTCAATGGGGACTCGGGGCGGCTAACATGAGGCCAAGACCAACAATTACAACAAATCAAAATAAAATAAATACAGCAAATAATAAAATTAAATGAAATATAAACAAAGCAAATTAAGACAAAATCAAATACAGGAAATGAAATAAAATAATAAAAATGTCTACAGCGAGCTGGGCCAAGTTAAAAGGGTAGAATTAAAATATAAAAACTCTGGGTGAGATGGATGAGTAGGGTAGTATGCCTGGTGGAGGATTTCAAGAGGGAACACCAGTGGGGTGAATATCATTGAAGGATGAGATAAAGTGCATCAATGGGCATATTGTGCTGACCTGGTCATGATGTGAGGATTGTATTCATCCCTCAAAGGCACACTGAAATAGCCAGGTTTTTAGGCTCTTCCTAAAGGCTGCCAGGGTGGGTGCTTACCTAATCTCTCTGGATAGGGAATTCCAAAGTTGAGGGGCCACCATAGAGAAGCCTCTCTCCCTCATCCCCACAAGTCATGCTCTCGGCGGAGGGGGAAGCAAGAAAAGGGCCTCCCCAGAGGATAGGAGGGGTCATGCAGGATCATATAAGGAAATACGGTCACTAAGGTAGGCAGGTCCCAAACCATTCAGGGCTTTGTAGGTGATAACCTGCATCTTGAATTGGGCCTGGAAAATGAACAGCAGCCAGTGGAGCTCCATAAACAGAGGAGTAGACTGTTCCCTGTAATTAACTCGTTAACAGTTTGGCTGCTGAGAGCTGGACCAGTTGAAGTTTCCGGGCTGTCTTCAAGGGCAGCCCCATGTAGAGTGCATTGCAATAATCCAGTCTAGAGGTAACTAAGGCATGGACCACCATGGTCAAATTGGACTTTACGAGGTATGGTCGCAGCTGGCGCACGAGTTTTAATTGTGCAAAGGCCCTCCCAGCCACCGCAACACCTGAGCATCAAGCATTAGCACTGAGTCTAGGAGGACTCCCAGACTGCAAACCTGTGCTTTCAAGAGGAGTGCAACCCCATCGAGCACAGGTCGCCACCCTATACCCTGATCAGGCCTATGATTGACCTGGAGGACCTCTGTCTTGTCAGGATGAATCTTCAACTTGTTCACCCTCATCCAGGCCATCACAGTAGTCAGGCATTGATACAGTATCAGAGGGGCTTCCTTGGATTTAGGTGGAAAGGAATAATAGGGTGTCATCCATATAGAGATGGCACCGAACTCCAAAACTCTGGATGACCTAATCCAGCAGTTTCATGTAGATGTTGAAAAGCATGGGGAAAGAATGGAATCTTGCAGGACCCCACAGGTCAAAGGTCAAGGGTCCGAGCAGCTATTCCCCAGCTTCACCAACTGGGAACAACCCTCCAGGACTGTATAGATCTGATCAGTATGCCCTTTCCTTAGTGCGCATTCAAAACTCTTTTATACCTGTCATATGCATGCACACTTGGACACAGGGGTAGTTTGGGAAAAACTGTAAATCATGTTATTGAAGAGCAACTTTTCCAAGCTCTATTATTGATGTAGTAAAGGCTTACCATTGGTTTGTGTCTGCCAGATAGCATCAGCCATTCCCCAGATAGCTGGCAATATGAAGAATACAGCAAGGTGCTTTGGGTGAGGTTTCCAAAGCAGGAATGTTATTATACAAGCAAGGTTGAGCACTGCACCTGTTTGGTAGGAAAGAACATCTATTAAAAAGTTAATAATATTGTAAAAATAAGAATGGCTCAGCTGCATTAGATCATGGCCCTGTTTGTTCATCATTTCACTACCTATTGGGGCTGCCCAGGTGATTCTAGAAGCCAAGAACAGTTGGCCAATCCAACCAAGCCGCTTTGAGCCCCCTTTGGAGAGATAAAGCAGAGTGGTGGTGGTGGTAGTAGTAGTAGTAGTAGTAGTAGTAGTAGTAACTCTTTTGATAGGCAGTGTGATAGGGAAAGCTGTGTTAAAACACAATAGTTCTGTGAAAGACTAAAGGCAGCTCGTGTTTCTCTCAATGGCCAAACAGAAGCCTAGGAAAAACTCAGAAGCAGGCCATAAGGACACATGTCCTTGCTAAACTATGGTCATGCTAGATGAGGTTCCTGTTCTTTGAATTGGCTGCCTTTACACACCTGTGCTCACTAACAAATATTTTGTATGTTTCCACAGATTTCCTGTTTGTTTACAACATCCATCCTCTCCTTGCCTTACTCTGATTGACAGCCATTTTGTTATTTTTTCACTCTTTTCTAGACCATTATGTGATAGCCCTGAGTATGTATTTGGTGGGGTACGAGATAGAACTAGTTGTTATTCAGCCCCTGCCTTGCCAGTGTGAGTACTCTGCTCAAGAGATCCAGTATTACCACTCACACATTTCCCAAAACTTATTTCCCATTTAGCTTTTACATACCCAGAACAAACAGAACATTCCGACCAGTGAACTGAGAAATCTTTCCAAAGAACATGGAAGAGAGAGAATTTGCACCAGCAAAGCAGATCATCACATAGCCCACATAATTTATCCCAAGGGCACAGGTCACAAAGGACTAGGGAGAAGGGAGAGAAACAAAGAGGCACAGTATAACATCCTATTGATAGTACTGCTGGCAGTAGTTTGATTATCCTCTTTGAAACTGAAAATGCTTTGTAAGTCTTCTTACAAGTTCTGGATGAGCATTCATGCAATGTAGACATAATCAAAAACACTATTCCACATTGTGCTCTAAAGTCTTTGTCTTTAATATGTGCCTATTATGGTATCTTGTTGATGGGAAGCTTCCCACTAGAGTGGAAATCATCAATTGGCCAGATTGCAAGCTATTTAACTTTAGTAGACTGAAAGCCAAGATCAAGGTCACAGCATCTGTTATAGAACTTCAATATGTCAATGATAACGTAGTCTGTGCACATTCACAAGAAGCCCTATAAGCCACTCTAAGCACCTTTGCAGAAGCATGCAAGAAGCTTGGCCTCTCACTGAACATCGAGAAAACCAAAGTTCTCTTCCAGCAGTCGCCACCCAATCCCCCTCCAATGCCAAAAATACAGCTTAATGGTGTAATATTAGAAAATTTTGACCATTTCCGCAACCTTGGCAGCCATCTCTCCACAAAAGTCAACATTGACATTGAAATACAACACTGCCTGAGCTCTGCAAGTGCAGCATTTTTCTGAATGAAGCAGAGTATCAGGACATCCATAGGGATACCAAGTTGCTTGTTTATAAAGCTATTGTCCACCCAACCCTGCTACATGCCTGTTGGAATTCAGCCTGTGTTTGTGTTTCAGGATCATGGTGCTTCTATGTGGGAAATGATGAGGGAAATGATTGCACTGAGGGTCAAAATGGAGATTATTTGGTCAATGATATTCATGCAGAGAATGACAGAGAGACACCAGTTCAAAGGGTAGTTTCTCATGAGAATGTTCCCGCGGTGCATAGGGATGATGGTTTACTCCCTGACTCTGTGAGTTCCCAAGATTTGGGGTTTGAAAACAACTTGCCACCTGGAGAAATTAATGAGGAGCAAGATACGGAGCTCATAGATAGACAGCTAGAGTTCATCCAGAATAGACAGCTAAGTCAAGGGCTGCATCGCTCCTCCAGGCTCCATGAGATAAGAGCCAGGAGCGATAGCCGAGGAAAGTGAAACCAGTTTCTGAGTGTTGAGATATAAGGTTTGCCTCAAAGGGAAATTGTTAGATGAAGCATCGTTTCAGAAACCTAGTTCTTGTTCCATGGAAGCCTTGCTTAGAAGCTTCATGTTAAGGGTACTTGTTCATGGTTGGACTTCTTGGTCTTTTGGATTTGATTACAAAAGTCTGGACTTTGTCTTTATACTTGTTAAACCCCGCCTTGGATTGTCTTTGTATTTTGTTGAACCCTGCTTTGGATTACTTTGTTCCTGCTGATCTTTTTACCTTATTGGAACTTCTCTGCTTTCTTAAAAGCATATATCTTCAACTGGCTTTTTTTTCTTTTTACTAAGCTTCAATAAAAAGGAATGCTTTTCCTATCCATCGTGTGGTGTTTTAAAGTCAGAAGGTTATTCCTGTCCTGGAGTGCAACAATGCTTGTGAAATGTGGACTATCTACAGACATCACACTCAGCTCCTAGAATGATTTCATCAGTGTTGCCTCTGAAAAATCCTACAAATTACTTGGGAAGACAGGCAAACAAACGTCAGCTTGCTGAAAGAAACAAAGGCCACCAGTATTGAAGTGATGCTCCTATGCCATCAAATCTGCTGGACTGGCCACGTTGTGCGAATGCCTGATCACCATCTCCCAAAGCAGTTACTGTACTCTCAAGTCAAGAATGGAAAACAGAATGTTGGTGGACAGGAAAAAAGATTTAAAGATGGGCTTGAAGCTAACCTTAAAAACTGTGGCATAGACACCAAGAACTGGGAAGCCCTGGCCCTTGAGCGCTCTAACTGGAGGTCAGCTGTTACCAACAGTGCTGTGGAAATTTGAAGAGGCACGAATGGAGGGCAAAAGGGAGAAACATGCCAAGAGGAAGGTGTGTCAAGCCAACCCTGATTAGAACTGCCTTTCACCTGGAAACCGATGTCCTCACTGTGGAAGGATAGAGCTCCACAGTCACTTAGATATCTACCACCAAGAAGGCCATCATACTCAGAAAATAAGTAAAGTATAGTAAGTAAAAGTATTATGGCATCATGTAGCTGAGGTAAGAATTTGGTCATTCATAATGCATGCTGTCAAATGCAAAAACAGCTAAAAAACAGGGAAAGGATGGCAGCAGAAATTACATACGAAAGGGAGAATCATACAAATAGTGGTTGACTGACATTTAGTATTTGCCTTCATTAGAATCAGAGTATGACTAAACAAAGCTTCTCAGGCTAGACCCAGAACAACCATTTGATAAAGAGAAGGGCTTCTTTTGCAGATGTCAGCTCTATCTCATTGAAACAAACAATCTCTCTATCACATTGTACTGATGCAGTGTGAAGTGAAAATATCAAGGTAGAGGGATCAACTATTCTTATTTGTGGTTATTGTTTTTCCTTATCTTTTCATGACAATTCTGCATTTCATAGGCAGGTTAATGCTGCTACAGGACACTGTCACTAAATGTATGATGGGGGGAGATGTATGTGTGTTGAAAAGGACATTGCAAATGGTTTGGGATATGAATTTCTTTCTATTTTATGGTTTCAGTCTCTTGATTCCGATTCCTAGTATCAATGTGTTTATTCAGGAACATCAATCTCTGAGTCATTCCTACCTTGGTGTAGTCACCAGCAAGAAATCCTTGTTCAAAACCACTGTACATGGTCAGTGGAATCAAGAGGCACTGGCGGATGTCTTTAAGTTGCCAGAATGTTGCCAAGAAAGTAGACCAAAAAGATGGTATCTTCTTTACTTCATTCTCCTTTAGTTGAGCTGAAATTGGATCTAGAAATACAGCAACTAAAATCACAGCAAACACTCCGCTGCCTGCAAGATGAATGGATATATTTGAATGAAAACAATTTTAAAATGAGTTGAGTTATTTCTATTGCGAGCTTAGTCAAAAAGTTTAATCTCTACCTCTGAAGCAAATATGTTTTATGCATTGTCAAAGGCTTTTGTGGCCGGAATCACTGGGTAGTTGTGTGTTTTCCGGGCTGTATGGCCATGTTCCAGAAGCATTCTCTCTTGATGTTTTGCTTGCATCTATGGCAGGCATCCTCAGAGGTTGTGAGGTCTGGTTGTAATCTGCAGTGTGTTTCATGTTCCTTGATTTGTGTTTGGGCACTGCAGATAGATACCTACATAAATGCCAACCATCACCCAAGTCAAAAAAGAAGCACAATTAAAGCCTTGGCAGACTGCAAAAAAGAATCTGCAAACCTCACCTCCTCCAAGGTGAACTCAACCACCTAAACTCGGCTCTACAGGTCAATTGATACTTCACCACAGACATTAAAAGAGCTGCAAGACCAAGAACAAGCCATGAGAGTAAAGGAAAAAAATCCCCCAGAGGAAAAGTGTTCTTATCAAATCACTGACCACATAGGGAATCTGATGAAGAAACACAACCTACAAACTGTCTACAGACCCACTAAGAAAATCCAACACATGCTAAGTTCAGCAAAGGACAAGAGGGATCCTCTCACCTCTGCAGGAGTCTACCATATACCATGCAGCTGTGGACAAGTCTACATAGGGACCACCAAACGCAGCGCCCAAACACGAATCAAGGAACATGAAAGGCACTGCAGACTAATTCAACCAGAGAAGTCAGCCATAGCAGAGCCCCTGATGAACCAACCTGGAAGCAGCATATTATTTGAGAACACAGAAATGCTGGACAACTCTAACAACTACCATGTCAGACTACACACAGGAGCCACAAGCATCTGAACAATTTCAAGAGAAAGGAAGAAACCATGAAAATGAATAAAATCTGGCTACCAGTATGAAAAAAACTCTAAAATCATAACAGTAAATAAACAACAACAGGGGAGTTCAAAACAAGAAACAATCAGGGCCAACAAATCACATCCCAACAAAGGATTCTTCCAGGCAGTAAGAAGCCAGACCTTGAAAACTGCTAGGCCATTAAATGCTAATCAAGGTGGCCAATTGCTACATTCACACCTACCTCAAACAGACAAGAGTTCTTTCTCCCACTCTGGACATTCCACATATATAAACCCCATTTTCCTAGTTTCCAACTGACCTCACAACCTTTGAGGATAACTGTCATAGATGCAGGTGAAATGTCAGGAGAAAATGCTTCTGGAACATGGCCACATAGCCCGGAAAACACACAACAACCCAAATATGTTTTAAACAAAATCTATACTTTGAGTAAAACCTTCAGTATAAAGGTATATGTGATACACAGATCCCTCTGTTTAGGCCTGGCATTTATGTTATGGCAGCTAGAAAAAAACTACTGGGTCATTGCACAGAGGCGATTTATTTTTACTCTTCCAAGTCACATGCGAAGTTACACAGTACTCAGCATGTATGCACTGTCCTTACAATTATTAACATTGCCTCAAGATGAATTGGTTGTCTCTCTTCAGATTTAGTGACAGACTTTTCATAAATGCATGTCAAGAGGGAAAATATCTGTTATCGAACACTATTACAACACTATTACATTTATTTGACATCAAATGGGCTCCAGAAACTCAAGCACTCAACTTCTGCAAAGAGCAAAACTCTGTCCCATTTTGCTGCTAGAATTTTGTATTGGTGATTTCACACTGAAAATCAGAATGAACACTTTTGGATAAGAAATGCTGATTCCAATATTTGAAAAACCGGCCCCAGCTGAAAAAAAGTTTGCCAAATGAACTCCATAAACAGATTTAGGACTTCATCAGACAGAGCTGGGGAAATGGGGGGGGGGGGGGGGGGGGAGAGCAGGGAAATCACCTTCTTTGCATAGTATTTCATGGGATCCTGTCTTTAAGAAGACAAGATTGCTTCCTCTGGCTTCTAGCTCAACCATTCGCTTAATTCCCATCACACGGACAAATCCCCTCCCATTTGTTTTCCCCCTCTTTCTCCTGTTTCCACCTGCACTGGGAGCTCAGAAAATGATTTCTCCCCATCTTCTTTCCTCCTGTTTCTCTGCATTGTACTACATTTCAGGGATGAAAGGCAACGGATGACAACCAGAAGTAGTTTGACAACGTATGAAGGGCACCATGGCACTTTGTCCCTGAACTGTCATGTGTGGAAGCAGGAGAGTACCTGCATCTGATGAGGTCCTTAGGGAAGCTTAAAATGATGTCTGGGGGATCTCAGATCTCAAAACAGTCAGCATTCACTCAAAATTAGTTCTAGCTGCTCAATACAAGAGATGTAATGGGTGAGGAATGGTAGTAGAGTGGAAGGACAGGGCTTTCTTAGCTCTCAGACTCACCCATCCAAATTGACTACTTAACTAGTATAGCTCAGCCTTTAATGGGTAAAAATGGACAAGAAAGTAGAAAACACGAAAAGCACTTTCCCTCCAATTCTCTCATTTTCCCAGCATGAATCCAGCTAGACATTGGCTCAGAGAGGCTTCAACATTGGAGTTTTCCCATATTGAGATTTCAGTTGCTTATCTGGTTTGTTGCTATTCCACAAAATTCAAGGACCAAGTCTAACAAATAAAGAATGCACACACACACACACACATTTCTTAAAGCAATGCTCTTACCCTAAGATTTTTGCTCTGAAACTTGGCAAGCATAGTGATATAAATACTATGGGAAGCATTTACCTGTGTAGATTCCTAGCAGTATGTAGATAAGGCTTTGCGTTGGTCGTGATGAATTTGAATCATCTGATGTGATGTTCATGCAGTCTGCTGCACCACAGCATGCCAGAGCAGCTTCTGAGATGTTTGCTAGTCCATTTAAAAAGTGAGAGGAAGAGTTTCTGAGTATTCCAAATACAGGAAAAATCAAGACCTTAAGTGCAAATATTCCAAAATAGCATAATGCCAGTTCCCAAATTGTGACAGAAGAACATTGAGGTTTCTCAGAATTTTCTCAGGATTCTCCTCTCAAAAAAAATTATAATGTTGCATCTCCTGGGGGCCACAAAGTCACTCCTCTCCCTTGGTTTTAAAACATAGTAGATTCCCATGTAATTCCATTAATTTTAAATTATAGCCACCCATTTTATTCTAGACAGCAAGACCACCTTAACCATGGGGTAGTTGAAACTGCTGATATGATCAAAAACCATCAAGCTAGTTGACTTTCAGTCCCAGTATACCATAGAGTTGTGTTGGAGATCTTGAGATTCCTAGAGAGGTATGAGCCCAGGGATTTGTTGGGTTCTCCAATGCAATTCTATGGTCACTTCCTGGGAAAACATAACCTAGAAATGCCTAGACAACAGTGTATTTATTTATCTATATTTTACTTTTGTTTGGTGTCTGGCCAAATACCAAGGATGATATAAGATTTCCCCAGATTCCAGAAGATTGAAATATCAGGAAGAAGAGTCCAAAATACTGGTTAACCACATCTCTTCCAAGTTTCCCTGCTTTCTCAGCATATGAGTTGCCAGCAATGGTGAGGTATGTGCACTTAGCTGACCAAAGGGGTGCTCCTCCCAGCCCCAAGATCATAGATGTAGGGATCAGTGTATACCTGCCAAAACAATAAATAAATAAATAAATAAATAAATAAATAAATAAATAAATAAACATGCCTCTTTCTTTTAAAAGAGATGCCACAGGTAACATCATGCTATCAAAGTGAAAAGAATTACATATTTCCTGTTGTTAGATAGGATTGGGATATATATGGTCCTTCAGAGCTTATTGACGAAAGCTCCATCTACATTGACCATTTAATACCAGTTTCAAACTGGTATTGCCCCATTCCCAGTTGTGCTGTCCAGCCACAGAGGTGATTGAAAGCAGGCCTGTGTTACCACTATGCAGCTCTGAACTGGTCTGTTTCATACCAGACTGGAGCTGCATTATGCAGGATGATCTTTCCTTTGAGATTGAGCTAGTTTCCCACTGTGATTATTTCTACCTGAGACACTGGGATTTCCAGAGGACTCCAACAGCCCTCAGTGGATGTTGCAATTGCTTAGAATTTGACTAAAGGGCGATCCCTCACTTTCATTCAGGCATCAATGGCTGGGGTTGGGAACTTCAATAATGTTATGGTAGCTTCAGTGGTAAATGCTTCTGCATAGCACAACAGAGCACATGGAAGCACTACACCATGCCACACATATGTGGCAGCTGTGAAATGACAGCCATAATGAGAATGGTGGCTCACTGTGTATAGCATATTTCCACACTATGATATCTTTTTACAGTGACATAACAAAGCATCTTGTGAATCATATGATAGAACACCCAACAGTCTTAAGTAAACCCTTGAATATATAATTCAGCTTAACCGGATATAGTTTATGTATTTTGCTTCATTTTAAGATAAACTTGTGTGTGTGCATACACACACATGCACGTGGCAACAGAACCTTATATTCATTGGTGGTCTCCCAATAAAATATTCAGCAGAGTTCACCCTGCTTAGTGTTCAAGAATAGATGCCATTGGGGTATTTAGGTCATCCCGGATGACCCCTGCTGATTCCAGAGAGCCAGAAACATTTCCAGCCTTAAAGTATTTCACTTGTCATCACCATGATATTAAGATAAAATGTTAACATCTTCTAATCATATAAAATTACCAAAAATACTTTGAGCTCATGTTTTCTTCTTCCAGCTTCTTCATATGATTAGACATCTGGTTGGAAGCTGGTTGGTGAGTGCCAATTAAAGCAGATCTACTGAATCAGTTGTTAAACATTGAGTCTATACATAGCTAAATCCAACTGAAGGGCTTTGCCTGCTCTCATCAGGGCCAACAAAGAGATTTGGGTTCTGTTTGTTTACTGAGTATCCAAGCCTTTTCACACTGGAGTTTACGCTGGCTGTGACATAACAAAGCATCTTCTGAATCATGTAATAGAACACCCAAGTCTTAGTCTTAACTAAAACCTTGAATATATGACTCAGCTTGAATGGATCCATTCTATTCTGCTTCCTTCCTTCCACTAATTGAGCTAGAAATATTTTCCCTAAATTGCACTTCAGGCCTCTTAGGAAGTCAATGACAAAAATTACCAGCTGGCATGGAAGTTGCCCAAGGAATATGCAATGTAGCAGCACATGGAGCCTACAATTGTCCACTTGCATCCAAGCTTCTGAATGAGGATGGGTGGGAGAAACATGGAGGACAGGATCAGAGCTGCATAGATGACACTCAGAGAAGCGACACCCAGCCCTTCTAGAGAATGGAGACTGCTCTGTAAATACAAAACACAATGGATGCAGCAAGAGTGAGCAACACATAGCCCATGTGGCACGTACAATCTCTGCCTCCTGCTTTGTACCCCCCTTGCCCCCATGACATTGTAAAATTGGCAGTAAAGATGACTGCCACCATGATTATTCCCAACATCAAAACAGGAGTAGGTTCTTCCCTTCCCTTCCCACTTCTTTTGCTGGTGGTGGACAACTGCACATCCTGGACCAATCTTATGGGGATTTTCCAAACATGCCAAAAAGCAAAACTGGAAGTGGCAAAAAGTCCACTTCCATGTTTGAAAAATTGATTACTTTGGGAAGTTAAAAATGCACGGGAAAGCCCTGCATCTTAATTAAGCAGCAAGTCATGAAGGAGTACAGGAGAACAGTCTCAGGAGGTTCAAGTGACCACCCCTTTTTTACACCCCAGCATGATGTCCATCCATACCTTATATCCTCCTGTGCTACAAAGATTTATCACCGTAATTATAGTGATTATGTCTCCCAAAAATCCAGTATTACATGCACAAAAGGGTGTGTACCTTTGTGATTAGGTCTAATGCACTCCCCTGTCCTTAAAAAGACACCCATCCTGCTTTACAACAATAGTTGTTTGACTGTTGGGGAGACAGACAAAAAATTAGGACGTCCAGCCTTAAAGGTTCTTTCTAGGGCCAGAAGTGGCATAAGGAGAGTCAGTCCATTTCATGGAGCACTTGGAAGTGTCAACATTACAAAACGCAATGGAATTGTTGTATATCTGTTGCTATAGAATCTACCAGTTTTGGAAGACACTGAGAAATGAGGAAGAAAAGAGGATTTCTTCCAGTAGCTGAGTATCACAGGACCTGATTTATGTGAGGAATTTCCAGTTTCAAGCCTTTTCATTTGCAAGAAGTGTTGGGACAAGCCATTGCTTGCAACACTCGAATCAGTTTCCTTGTTAGTATGTCCTCCATTGTCCCAGTTTCCAAGAACAGTTCAGATTAATCCTCTGCTGTCTTACTGTTCCTCCCAGTTTCTGTCTACTCTCTCACTTTATTTTTTTTTCTTTGCTTACTTTGATGGCTGAAAAAGTAGTTTGCACTTACTTAACTGAGCAGGGAGGACATAATCTTGTCTTTCTGAGCAAATTGAGGCAAAAGCAAGGTGCTTCAGCCTCTCCTAACTAGTGTGATCCCTCTCATTAATAACTTTAGCCATCATGACCACACTATGATGTTGCTCAGACACACATTTCCCAGTTTTCTTCTGCTCTCAAACTTCCAGAACCACTGTGGAAAGGACAGTGATGGAATATTGACTTGTCCCAGAAGGACTCTTGCATTCTGGTGGTTCTTGGGCATTTCTGGGACTCCCTTTCCTTATAATATCCACCCACAATATGATGTCACTATATCTCCTTCAAATATATCATTCCCAATGTATATTCCAGAGTTAAATGGGCCATCTTCAATGAAGTACCTAAAATATACCTACCTGCAGGCTCTGAAGTCCTCCATAAGCAGTAAATAGAAATAAGAATCCAAATGAAACAACCAGGATATTTTTTAAATTCTTTTCCATGTTGTGATTCACAGATTATTTTAAAATAAAATAATCTTTTCGTTGAAGTGAATAATTCCAGATGGAGTAAATCCAGGCAAAGGGGTCAGCAACAGGAGCCAAGATCTAGCTTTGCTTCATCTTAAATGTAAAGGAGTCATGTTAGCCATTTGGATATCATCCAGTGAACTGAAAACATCATAGGAAATTTGTTACTGATTCACTTGTTCAAAGCCTGGATGAGTTTTCACAGATTCAGATTGCAACTTTATCTGCCTAATTGCTGCCCTTGCAACTCAATTACAAAAGTCTCTTCCAAGAGTGAGGAAATTATTTTCATTGCTCTTTCGTCACATAACATGCCCCCTTCACAGGAAACTGGCACAGAAAAAGGCATGCACGTGTAATTTAATTTGAGGTGGGAAACGGTTAAGGTTAAAGGGTAAAGGATTGCTTGCAAAGCTCCACAGTAATAGCATGTTGTAAACTAAGGGGGTGTGGTGGCTATTAATAAACCAGTGCAAATTTGTGACAGGATAAGAGGAGATAGTCATTGTTGCTAACTAACAAACACTGTGAATGCACAGCATGCAAAAATAAGGAGACTTTATGTCATGGCAGATCCGTTTGTAACTGAAGAGGAATTATCATTGCTATTATTATGGAAATATGTTTACATGCCATCCTAGCCTCCCTAAGCAGGGACTTCCAAAGCCACCATAAAGCAGCCCTTTCCCTTTTTCCATCCAAGCTGGCCTGAGAAAGTGGCAAAACAGAGAGCAGGGTCTCTCCAAACAACCCCAGAACGCTAACAGGCTCGTAAATATCCCGCACCAAAGCCATATAGGTCTTCATAGCATGTTAAATAGTGCCAGGATACAAACTAGCAACCAGTAGATCTGTTATAACAAAAGGAGTTGTATGCTCCCTATAGCCAGTTCCCAGTTAGCAATCTGACTGTAGCTCTTTGGGACAGGTGAAGTTTCTAAACATACTTAAAAGGCAGACCCCATAAAGCGCATCACAGTATGTTGGAAATAGCAGCCTTCTACAAGCCTCCTATACTAATTATTTGTTATGTATATAATTGAGATTGCTTACTATGTTGTATGTATGTGTTGATGTGTATTTTCCCTTAACTCAGCATTTCTCAACTTAAGGGTCGGGACCTCTGGGGGGGTCACAAGAGGGATTCAGAGGGGTTGCCAAAGTCCATCACAAAACACGTACAGTGTTCCCTCGCTGCTTCATGGTTCGCTTTTAGCAGATTCGCTGATTTGCGGGTTTTTGAAAATATTAATAAAAATATTAAATATTTACGTCCAGTAGAAGCCAAGGAGGCCAGGGACCCCAGAAGTGCGGTGGCCTGAGGTGTGGCAGGGAAGGCCTGCCTCCTTGGCTTCCACAGATCCTGGAAGTGCAGCGGCCTGAGGCACAGTGGGGAAGGCCTACCTCCTTGGCCTGCTGCTGCCTGCATGGCTCTGGAGGCTCTGCGGAGGCCAGGGAGGCAGGCAGGTGCCCTTGGGTTGGACCAGGAGGAAGGTAAGGAAGCACAGGTAAGAAAATAATATATAAAAATATAAAATAATGTATAAATATCAAAATTAATATGGAGTCCCTACTTCGCAGATTTTCACTTATTATGGGTGGTCCTGGAACGGAACCCCCGCAATAAGCGAGGGAACCTTGTATTTCTTATGGTCTTAGGAACCTCTTTGGCAGAGAAGGCTGAAGATCTCTCCACCTGTTCTTCTCTTCCTTTTTGGAAACCCACCAAAAGCCCTCATCTGCTGTGATTGGCCAGCTCTCAGCCGGCCTCTCAGCCAAGGGGAGGGCTGCTGCTCAGACTCTAAGTGGGGAGGGGAGAGCAGAGCAGGCATGCTCATTGCATGGCACCATGGAGCACATGTGCAAGTGAGGGAGAGTGTGTGAGGCTGGAAGGAGACTCATGACAGCAAGTCCCTTCAAGGCATGAAGGTTCTGTGTGGGAAGTTTGGCCCAATTCTATCATTGGTGGGGTTTGGAATGTTTGTTGATTGTAGGTGAACTATAAATACAACTCCCAAATGTCAAGGACTATTTTCCCCAAACTCCACTGGTGTTCACATTTGAGCATGTTGAGTATTCATGCCCAGTTTGGTCCAGATCTATCATTGTTTGAGTCCACAGTGCTCTCTGGATGTAGGTGAACTACAACTCCCAAACTCAAGCCCAATGCCCACCAAACCCTTACAGAATTTTTTGTTGTTCATGGGAGTTCTGTGTGCCAAGTTTGGTTCAATCCCATCATTGGTGGAGTTCAGAATGCTCTTTGATTGGAGGTGAGCTATAAATCCCTGCAACTACAACTCCCAAATGACAAATACAGGCATATTTGTGCCAAATTTGGTCCAGTGAATGAAAATATGTCCTGCATGTCAGATATTTATATTATGATTCATAACAGTAGCAAAATTACAGTTAAGAAATAGCAGTGAAAATAATGTTATGGTTGGGAGTCACCACAACATGAGTAATTGTATTAAGTGGTCGTGGCATTAGGAAGGTTGAGAAAGACAACCTTAACTGTATGTTGTTAGAGGTTGTGGGAGGGACTAATGAAGACTACTTATTTTTTAGTTTCTTGAGAGCAAGATTTGAAAGCAATATATTTTATGGGAGAGTAGATGATATATATGTATTTGGGCAACTGAAATAACACTTCTGAAGATCTGCTATATATTTTATGCATTGACATAATCTTTGTTCCTAACAGTTCAGAGAGATATCCGGGTATATCAGTCTAACAGTTGAGAAACCTAAATTGCCTTGCATGAATACTAGTGGATATTTAAAATCACCACAAAAATGAATGTATTGTGCAAAAATAAGACAAGTTCTCAACAGATATAGTGTGGAAAGCACACTTTAAGACCTACAATTTTCTGTCAAAAATGGAAAGTTGAATCAAGCCGTTCTTTCCACTTTCTACACTCAAAGCCTAGAAAAATTACTTTTCTCTGACTCTGTGTGTGTATGTATTTGTGTATGCCTTCAAGCCACGTGTTGATTTTGGGCAATTCTGTGAATTTCATGGGGTTTTCTAAGGCAAAGAATTCTCAGGCGCTTGATTTGCCCATTCCTTCCTCTGAAATATAGCCTATAACATCTGGTTTATATTGCAGGCTCTTACCCAAATACGAACCATGGCAAACCTTTAAACAAGCCTTCCAGGAAACTTATGGCAACCCAAACTGAACCTGTCACATAGTTTTATTGGCAATGTTTATTCAGAAGAGGGTTGCATTCATCTCCCCTTGAGGCTGAGAGAGAGTGACTTTGCGAAATCCCCAGTGGGTTTCAGAAGTTGAAGCATCATATCAGAGAGAACTCACATCACCTATTCTTCATGGGGAGCAGGCAAAGAGGAAGGAGACCTGTGAGAGCAGGTGAGACCCCAAAGAAACATGGCAAGGCTATGTGATGGAGGAAGAGAATGGTTGTGAAGAAACACATGAAGAAACAGGAAGTTATCACAAACATGCTGCACTTAAATGCCTCAAGAGTACTATGTGATCTAAATACCATTCAGTGTAGGCATGGAAAAGTTACAAACGCCCACAATATTATGTGAACAACAAGATTACCATGCTAATCTTCTTTGGCAACATCTAGTTTGACAGGAATGTCCTGTGGCAATACCCTTTTAATGCAACCCCCCTCAAAGCTGTAACTATAACTCTAAGAATGTTGCAATGTTTACTTTAGGACGTTTTATTTTTTTTAAAAAAACCCAGAAAGGATCCTATGCTGGCAGACTGAATGAAAACCTCTTGAGGTAAGATAAACCGGTTGAAGACAAATCTGATCCAGAAAGCCAGCCAACTGGACATCTTCTTAATATTAACTTGGAATTATCTTAATAAAGCAAATCCTTGCTCCACATATCCATTATTTTCCCCATTTAAGTTTTTTATTCCTTTTCCTGAGGCTGTTCAGYCCATTACTCTCTACACTGGCTGATAAAAGTTTCCCAGAGTAGTCCCTTGGAAGAGTATAAAAGAAAAAGAAGARGAGGAGGAGGAGGAGGAAGAAGAAGAAGAACTTTATTTTTCTACCCTRCCTCCATCTCCCCATGGATTTTATGGTTATAATGCATGCATGTCAACTGTGAATTGTTGTAATTTTGTGTACGATTGTTTATGATGCAGGCATCAAATTGTGCCTTGTTTCTGTAAGCCGCCCTGAGTCCCCTTCGGGGTGAGAAGGGCGGGGTAAAAGAACCCCAAATAAATAAATAAAWWAAATAAAGGGACTTGAGGCAGCTTACATGGGGCCAAGCCCAAGGCAACATACAATTAAAAGCRGAACAATAACATATTAAAATAGCATAAAACAGCATAAACAATAATAAACAAGCATCATAAGCAACATCAGAGATAACCTCTAGATCATTTTTTTCTTTTTTTAGAGGGGGAAAAAGAAAAGGCAAATATGCAAAACAAATCAAAGGATAGACTGGTCAACAAGGTGGACAGAACATATAATAGCATTGGAATAGAGCAATTTAACAGGATCATTTTAGCTTAACTTAAAAATGTAGTAATCAAATGTAGGTATTTGAATTCAGGTCATGGTTAGTTTATGTATAAAAAAATTTAGTATAGAAAACTTAAATTTTCAAATTAGGGCCTCATGTACACAGACTACTTAGGCTGGTTCTGAACCATCTTGGAAGAAACTGGTGTCACTGTGTGGGTTATTATTTTGATATTTGTGGGACAGGTTTGAGATCAGGATGGTGATACATTAGCCATGGAATGTGCCCTCAAAATGGTTCCAGTATCTGCAGAGAATCTGGTGAGATGTGCAGATACTCCTTGGAGGCACACAAAGTACAACAGAGAAGCAGAAAGTGAGTTATAAGTGGAGGCATTCAATAACCCATCTTAGGCATTCTATTGGTCACATGCTGCACAGCTAAGTTAGGGGAAAGTCTGAAATAACCCCCCTGACGTAATTATATATCAGGCACCTGACCTTGAAGGAAACACATAAATCCATTCCAAGTTCTGAAGTTAAAACATGCATTAGAGCATTGGCTGTCCAACAATTTGTATTTTGTGAAGTCGATTTTGCTTGATGTGGTTTACATTGCAACCACTCTGCACACATTCAAGGACAATTTTTGGACTTTCCCAACCTAGCTTAAATTGGTTTAAGCTCTTTAAAGAGAGCTGCAGCACACTTTAACATGTGTAAGACAGCTGCTGCAGTTTGAAGTTAGCTGGATGAGCCCTAGAAGTCCCAGAATCCCCAAACCAGCATAGTCAGTATTTTCCAGCCATGTCATCTATGGGACATGTACAAAGGACTGAATTTGGGGTCTCCATGTTGAGTCACCCCTGGGGAAACATAGTTCTGTAATAGATCACAAACAGAAAGATGTCACAAAGTGTAAAATCTAAAGCATATTTCCTGGACTTTGTGTCCTCCAGATGAGTTATACTATAATCCCCATCCTTTCTGGATAGCCTGTTGAATAAAATGAAAGTTGTAGTCTCGCAATTCTGAATGCAGCAAATTTAATAAAGCTGACCTACAGTCTTTTGCAAGTGTTGAACAACATGTTCTCATTTTCTGTACTTCTCATCCACATGGCAGACATCGGACATCTCAATACAACCTGGCACATTACCTTTGGAAAGACCTCTTGCTCGCTGCAACCATACAAGAGTGGTGATATTAGATCTTCTGGTAGCACTTCTGAGGAATTCTGCTTTTCAGGATTTGGCAGCCTTCGTTCTCCAGAGGCTCAACATCATCAATTCGTATGCATTTCGAAACGAGTTAGAACATGTTGATGTTCTGTTCCACAACTAAAGCCACAATGAGCATCAAAAGCTGATTGACAAAATTATATTTTGCATTACCCTTTTACTGGAACAGCGTGTCATGCTCCCAGCTCCTGGGCTACACCCTCAAATAGCTAGGGCAAACAGGATTGTGTCACTATAATGTCATTTACCTCATATGTATAGACAGAAATTTTGTCCATCTGTGAAGGAACAAAGTATGATGGAAATAATTATAAATTCACTTTGCTTAGGAAGAAAGACAAGGTGTCACAGATTATTGTCTTCCCATATTTCTCCTGCACATTACCCCATATGGCTTGCTGAGTTTTTAGCAATGCAAGATTGAATATGTCATAGTAAGGACAGTGCCTTACTCATTTTCATATAATCACAGAATTTTCCTTTAGACACACATTTTCTCAATGCTATCCCTTCCCTCCCAAAACTGAGATACTAGCTCATAACTTGTGAAGAAATTACATATAATCATCCAGGCAAAGAGACTGAGACTATAATTAAAGTGAACTAATATAAACAATCTTTATTATAACGATAAAATATAATTCAAAAGAAATATACAAACAATTCATGGGATATATGTCAATACAACAAAATGCATGTATAGTTCATGCTAGATAAGAGTCAGTATTAGCTAGATAACTATCTATTTCCCACCAACTGTGATGATGACTGCGTTGAGCCCTATATGTTAGAATAGAAAAAGCCACTCTACAATTTCTCCTTTTTTTGCAAGCAGCATGTTACAGAAGCGTTAGCAAAAATCTTGGTCATCTGGACTAGTTACACTCTTGTTTCTTCATCATATTGTAGGAGCTGAACTCAGGAAAGGAATTTTTTTACTTGAATAATGAATAGCTTCTGCTGACCTCTGTAACTTAGGCAAACCACTGATCTTTGCACTAAAACTACTGATCTTTGTACTTTGAATAATTTTCTGACCCAGACACTTGAATTTTGTGTGACTTTTAATCATGGGACATCTATTAAGTAATGGCTACCCCAAATAAGGTAATGCCAGCCTTGTTAGGAAGTATGTATGAAGTCAAGTCTGTGCATGTCTGTAACAATGTTTTACACTGACTCTGCACTCAATGTAGGTGTGGCAGTTTTGATCCAGCTTTTCAGCTGGCCTGTCACCATTCACTTTTTGCAAACAGTAAACTACCTTGGACTCAAAAATCTGCTGTCCATCTGCTTCCTCTGCCTCTGTGCCAAAATGAAAGTTTTACAATAAATGTGCATATATTTTAAGGCCAGTGTGAAGTGGCAGCTGAGTGAGACAATGTGAAGAGGGATGGATGGAAGGCTATATCCCACAGTGGTTCTCAACTTATGAGTCCCTAGGTAGTTTGTCCTACAACTCCCAGAAATTACAGCCAGTTTACCAGCTGTTAGGATTTCTAAGAGTTGTAGGCCAAAACATTTGGGGATTCACAGGTTAAGAATCACTGCTATATGGGGATATGAAAGGCTACCTGTACTTTTCTTCTCAGTCAGCCTTTCAAATCCATGGGTTCTGTGTTCTTGTATTCAACCAAGTACAACTCAAACATACAGCCCAAAAAACCTACAACATTCCAGTGATTCCAGCCATGAAAGCCTTCAACAATACAACTCAAAAGTATTTTTTAAAATTCCAAAAGTAGTCCTTGATTTTGCTATGCACTAAATAGTATACTGATGTAAGGGAATATCCTATTGTCATCTCCTGCTGTTTCACAGATCCTTGGGCTCTCTTCAGTAGCATTACAGCCTGGCATATCCAAAGATTTTGCATCTGTGGATTATCCATGCATGGCTGAAAATATGCCCCAAAAATCTCAAAGGCGAACCTTGATTTTGCTATTTGATATAATGAATGACATTTTAATACACCATTGTATAGAATGGGACTTAAGTGTCCACAAATTTTAGTATCCATAGAGAGAGCTGGAACAAGACTATTGTCCTTATTGTATTGGTTCCTTTTCCTGAACAGTAGCAGCTTAGTCCAAAGAGAGAATACATATAGCACTTATTTAGAAGAAATGCTCCCTCAAGTGGTGAGAATGATGTTTTGTCTTTAAAAGTTTATTTCTTTTCTCCTTCCATTCAGATATCTGGAAATATAGGCCTATTGTGAAGCAATAGAATTTGTTGTAGCTGAAATTTCTATAAGCAGCATATAATGTGAATGAAAAACAGAAGATCAACTTCTCTATTTAGAATATGGACAGCAATGACAGTGTACATGCAGCAGCTTGTCTCAGTTAATCATAAGCTTCACTGGTCTGCCTTGAATGGGCAGTATCTGAACTTACCCTTGAACCATGAGAGTTTCTACAATTCTTGTATCTCACACAGCACAGGCCAGCCATTATTTTCACAAAGTAATTTCTAAATTTAACCCCAATAAATGCATAAAGCACAGGGTTCATACAACAATGGAGGAAGGCAAAAGTTTCTGTTATGTATTTTGCATAGGTCATTTGCTTGTCACCCTGGCAGTCCTTATCCAATGTTTTCATCGATGCAGCTTTCATGAGGAGAACCATGTTATAGGGAACTTGGCATATTAGGAAAACAGTCACAATCGAGACTACCACACGAATGGCTTTGCTTCTTTTCGAGTTGTGAGCCTGTACTAGCGTTTTGACAATGAAGGTATAACAAAAAACCATAAACAGCATGGGGATGAAAAACCCAAATAAAAGCTGGATGGTGATTATCAACAATTTCAATGTGACATCGAATTCTGTGCTGGATTTGTGTTCACAAATGTTCTCTGACACATTGGTTGATGGTGCATAGCTTCCACTAAATATGAAAGTAGGGCAGGAAATTAAAATGGATGCTACCCACACAGTCAAACAGATCACTTTCCTGTAGGCTAGAGTCCTTGATCGAAACTTAAATGATCTGGTCGCTTGCACAATGGAAATGTATCGGTCCATGCTTATACAAGCCAGGAGCAACATGCCGCAAACAAAGTTATGTGCATAGATACCTTTGATGAGCTTGCACATGAAATCACCAAAGATCCAGTTGTTCATAGCATAATTTACTGCCCAGAAAGGGAGAGTAAGAACAAACAATATGTCTACAATTGCCATATTGCATAGATATAAGTCAGTCATAGATTCAGTCTTCTTGTATAAAGAAAATGTAATCACTACAAATATATTACCCACAAGGCCAAACACACATATCAGTGAGTAGGTAACAGGAAGAAACATTTTTGTGAAGTTTCGGACTTCATTCTTGTCACACGGCATTGAAATATCCAGGCTATAGGAATAATCAAAACTGGTAGTTTCTTCCTGAAAATGACAATGAAACAAGTTAAGGTTTGTCAGCGTAGTTCAATAAATTCTGCTCAAACCAATGAAAATTCGTAGAAGTACATACATTGAGTGAACAAAGAGTTCATTCACAGGGCCATTCCCTTCCAACCTCAAGACAAAATCCCCCTTGTTTTCAAGGAAGGCTTTGGGCGTAACACATGGGGAGGTGTGACTGCAATGGAATTGGGGGGGGGGGTCTTAATTTTGGATTCAACACTAGCTTCATCATCAGATATTGAACTGGTCAGGAGACTTTGGTTATCTTAGCACCAGTTATTTATGTTGTTTCATCATTTTGTTGTCAGAGATGGGGAGATATGTTTATGGGATCCTCTGTGTATATCCTATAATTTCTGGTACTATTCACGTTGATTCGAGTGATGGGATGGGTATCACCTGTTGGTGTGCATCAGGAAGCAAATTATCTTAGATCAGCACTGTTTTCTCCCCATTCAATATTTGTACTGAAAACGGTTTGGATAGATAGATCATTCATATTTTTTTTGACAGGTTGATCATTCCTTATCCAAAGCAAACTCCAAATAGAGCAAATAGAGCAAACTCCAAAATTGTCCACGTGGGTGTCTGGGACAGCAACACCTTTGCTTCAATGTTGACAATGGTTCAATGTAGAGAATTGTCATTTCATGTGTAGAAGTATTACAAACATTGTGTACAAAATGACCTTCGGAGTTATGAATAATAGGCTCTGTAAATTTGTTCTTAAGTTGCATTTCTGTGTAAGTTGGAACAGGTACTCTTTTAAGTGTAACTCCAGCCATTTTTTTGAAAAAGTTTTGAATAGCACAGGAGAACACTCCTATAACATCTGTTTTGCTGTCTATGGCCTTGTTCAGAGGATTTCACCTCATTTTCTGTTCCTGTGACAATTGGATTTGGAAAAGGTTGGCTTGTAGCGGAAACAAGAATTGGTGATAAAGCTTCAGTGGAGGTTTCAGGTTTCTTGTGATAGCTCTAACAGGAGTGACTTTCCCTTCCGAGGGGTAGATTTCCTCTCACTCCCTTTGTCTCACCCCCATTTGTAACTAGGAATCGTATGCCAATCAGATGTTTGTAACTTGGTGACTGCTTATATAAGGTGTATATTCATCATAAATTAATTTCATATTTAGATTTGTGCCCCTTCTCCAAGACATCTCATTATGTTTGCATATGCAAATACAGGTATTCCAATGTTTCCCCTCTCCCAAAATCTAAGGACCTCATCAGATGGGCAGGGGTAAAGTTGGGGGGGGGGGCAGCAGAAGGGACTATCAGGCTCTGTGTCCTCCCATCAGTATCCATTTTCTGTCTTCCCATGTTGTTTCCCCCTTCAGATCCATCTTTCCTCGCTACCCCTTTGCTTCTTCAATGAGGGTTTGGGTAACACCAGACTCCTCTAGAGACACTCCAGGCTCCTGAAATTGAGCCCCATGCAGTCCCACCAGAAGTGGCCCAATGTAATGTCATGGGCTCCATGAGACTCTGTTGTGGCAGTGGAAAGAGGTGGGGAGAAGACGCTCCTTTCTCTGCATCTGATGAGGTCCTAAAACACTTCTGGTCACAAGCATATCAGGTAAGGGATACTCAACCTGAATGTATCTGACAGACATGTCTGACACTCGGAAAACCACTGTACTACAGATTTGACAGTGACAAGGTGAGGTTCCTTCCTCTCAGTGCCCTATTTCTTCCTGTTGCAAGAGGAGAGCAGGGTTCCTCTGCCTTTCTTGCTTGAAACACAAACACATATATACAAGAGAAGGAGAAGAGTAGGTAGGAAACAGCAGAGTGTGAAAATATACTGATTTTTTTTAAATAAGGAATAAAGGAGTGCTGTCAGGAGGTAGTTTTATTTATTAATACAGTATAATTTGTCTGGGAGCACTATCGGGAGACATCTTAGTATGGGCAGCTGCTCTCGCTGCTTTACTTACCTACTTCACCCCACCAGAAAATTTTACACATGTTAAGTGTGTTTGCCCCCTCCCAAAAAGGTAATCAATTTTTTCTTAATTCTCTAAATTTCTAGCATAGCAGAAAAAGAAACACTGAAAATATTTGAATCCTTTTAATGATTGAATCCTTTGGGTTTAAATTTACATATTGTATGATTTTTTTTAAAGCATGTCCTGCTTTAAATATCCTTTAGGAGAGATGAAGTGGAGTATAAATACTACTGCTTCTACTATTACTACTACTACTAATTGCTTAGTCCTTCAAATTTTATATCATCTGAGCTTGAAGAAAAGATCTGGAATACTTAAATCTTTACATATTTGTAAACACTTAAGGATTAAAAATATTACTCAACTTCAAATTTTGTTTCTCTTGTACCTACTTCTTAAACAGTGCATTTTAATGTTGAGACAAATATTTTTAATGTTTATGTATGCATATAATGAACTTGTGTTCTGGCATGGAATGTTTGCTGTTTGTATGTTGTGCTCTGCCCTGATTCCCCTTTGGGGTGAGAAAAGCAGAATATAAATGTGTTTTTTTTAAATATATATATAAAATATCATAGTTAGTGGGATTTTTTTTTTAAAAAAAATCAATATATAAGTATACTATTGTGTATGATTTTTTTTCATCAACTTCCTAATAATTCTATCTTTTGTTGTTCCATGCTGGCAAATAAGAATCAAGCGAGCATATTTAACACAATAAAGTGTTTTTGGAATCAGTAGTGCTTTGAGCAAATCTACAATCAAAAAGGAACTATTTTGTAAAAGAAGCCAGCAGTGTTTGATACAAAGGGGAAGGCTGAAGCACAATAGTGGGTCAGGCAAGGAAAACCACAGGATGCTGAAATTGAATCCAAATTCCCAGTTCCTTATTTGTTTGAAATTCTCACATACAGTTTTGGACCAGATCAGAGTTTATTCCATTTTGTAGAGCAAAAGTGGGCAAAGTGTAGTCTGCAGATACACATGTTTCCAAAGGTTTTTTATGAAGCTCATGTTTGCACTAATTTTCTAAAAGTCATGAACCCCAAAATATTTTTTTTAAATGCAGACACCCCTTCCTGAAAAGAGCCCTTGTTGCCGCTCCTTGATAGGCATTTACCAAAACGGCTAAAAATCAGCTTCAAAACCCATATCCTGCCCGATATCCAAGGCTTTCTGGGAAGTGTGCCTATTTATTTCTTTAAAAGAACATATTTAATCTATATCTCACTTTTTAACTCAGATTTAGATGACCTTAAACAAGTCACAAACTTGCCGTCTTGAAAAAAAGTGGGCTTTCAAGGCAAAATGGGGATTTGAACACTGGTCTTCTGGTGGAGTTGCCAAGTTTTCAAAATAGAATCAGGGACAATCAAAATCCATGACATTCAGAGTTGGGAGACAAGAAGTAGCTATTAATAAGACTGTGGTGTAATTAAAGTCCAAATGAAAACACAAATTTCAGTTAAATTAGCCATGTATAAAATTAACATATTGTCTAAATTCATAAATGACAACATACACACATTTCTATCATTATGGAGACTCTGCACCTCAAAATGCTAGATTATTTTCCCACCTCTTTCAGTTTTTCAACCCTTAAATATGGGAGCATCCTTTACAATAAAGAACTTCTGGAAACTCTTCCAGATTTCCAGCACAACACTTAATCCCTAACACCATGCTGGGTGAATAAATTCCATTCATAACACTATAGCTTCAAAGGAAAAGAAAAATCTGTTTGGAAGTTCACACAGTTCTCCTTTCTCTCTACAGCTGGTTTTCAATTGGCATTGCCTCCTTCTTGGTCATTTCTCTTAAAGGATCAGTGGTGGCATCAAGGTTAGTCTCTGGGTTTTAGTCTAAAACATTAAAAGAGCTATACAAGGTGTGTGATCTATTTTAAGGCCAGGAGTTCTGCACTTTGAATAAATTCTCCAAACTACATAAGAGATTAAACACTTCACTAAAATGCAAGCTGTCAGCTGCCACTGAGATATGTTCAGCAATCAAGAACTTACTCCACTCATTATAATCTTCTCACTTCCTTCTTTGACCAGGAAATAATTTGGCAAATTCAGCAGACTAAACAGGCTCTGTAAAGGAAAGTAGATTAACAAAAGAGTATATAGGATTACATGTGTTGGATAAGATTTGTGGAGAAACTGGTCAAAATCTAACAAACACTAACCAAGTCTTGTGCTGCATTACAGAATGCCAGTCCGCGTTTTTTTTTTGTCTTTTTCAACCCCCCCCATTTCTTTTTTTCAACTTTTATACATAACAATTTTCACTTCCCTCTTCTATCTTCCCTTTCTCCTCCTCTCCTTCTTCCATCCTTCCTTCTTTCCTTTCTTCTTTTCTTCCTCCCTTTTTTTTTTTCCTCTCCTTTCTTTCTTCTCTTTCCCCTTTTCTCCCTCTCTTTCCCTTCCTTTCCCCT